TGGGTCCGAGTTGGCATGGGTCCGAGTTGGCATGGGTCCGAGTTGGTTTGGGTCCGAGTTGACTCGAAACCCTTGAGGTTAGGCCTCTTTACCATAAAGCATAAAGGAAGGAACACAGAAAATGTGACAAACATAAATGTACTGGAGTATGCCTTCAGACAGAGACTTGTGAAAGCAAATGATCACAGGAGTAGTTTGGGACGCTGTCTCTATATCTTGGCTTTAATCAATCACAGTGTTGTCAACCTGATTTTACTTATTAAAGTTCCCCAATAAACAAGATGCAATTTCAATTTCATGAAATCTTGTTGGATTAAGTATGGTCAGAGTTAATAAATGTTAAGACTATCTATAAGCTCAATAAATAACATTAAATAAATACATGTACATGTACACGCTACTGGCATAATGGATTACGAATACTGATAAACCTTTCTTTAAAAAAAAATTTTCTTTTCTGCTCCTTCTGGAGAAGAAATACTGAAAACAAATTTATTAAACACAACCATCAGCTAAACAGCCTAAGCATCCATGTGAGTGCCAATCTGTTCAATAGTCATCAAGCATTCCTGTGTTGATTTCATAGTCTGCCAAATGTGTGCTATACATCCCTTTCATTGTACTAAAAAAGCCCTCATGCACATTGTGCATAATTTAAGGTCAATTACTTAAGGTCAATTCAGGTATGTAATTACTTTACTTCTGAATACAGTAGTCTATGGAAAAATTTACCAGTTCATACAGGGGACCGTGGAAACTTTACCCCAACCGAATTACATTAAATGAATACACACTTCAACCAAAGTGATGGATGCTTTGTCACTTCAGTAATGACCCTGAGCCACAAACACATACACAATACAATGCTCCAAACATGGACTCTATGATTGCTGTTGATTCTAGCACAGACAGCTGCTGCAACAAACAATGATGAATGACAAGTTTATTGTGAAGTCAGACAGAGATATGTAATCTGCAAGGACAACACAAGGAGTAATCTGCATTAAGTAAATTGGCATAAAATATAATGAACACCATGAGTTGTTAGGTTACTATTCACTGACACAACCTGGTATTACCGGTATGAATGTGTGTCCACAGACAAAGTGGAACACCAACACAGGAAAAAGAAAACAGCTAGGAAGAAATTTCTTTGGGAACACAATCCTCCTCCACTGCTAATTGTTAGTCAGTCTGAAAATGAGTACTGATGAGAGTCCTTTGGAAAGAGCAAAGACTCATTCCCAAATTTCTTGTTGACACCCACAATTCAAAGACAGAAAAAGCCAATGTTTGCAGACTGCACACAGATTAAGCCTGTGAGACTGTCAATTTTGCAAAGTCGTGGCGACTATTTAAAACTAGTCGCGACTACTTAACTAGTCGCGACTTTTATGACACTTTTTTTTCGGCCTTTCGGCCGAGTGGTATAGGGGACACGGACGCACTATTATTCTGTGTTCCACTTGCGCTCGTGTGATACCGGTAACTAATATAATTCCCTGCACAATTAAAGTATATGTGGATATTACCTCCAAATAAATAAAGCAAAATACGTGTAGACACAACAGACATGAGAATAATTATACAAAACTTTTAACAAATGTACAGTTAATAACATTGCATGTATCGGTACCTTGTACCATACAGTATGTATGCAATTACAGGTGTGTTCATGTACACATGTAATAGGCTACTATTAGCTCAATTTGCATGTACACATATTAATAATCAAGGTCTTCACAATAAGAAGTAGTAAATCAAAAAACCTTATAAACTGTCCGAATATAAATGTATTCTGACCACCGCAAATGCTCTGAAATTTGAAACACCCAAAGCGAAGAAAAAACATTTCAATTAGGGTCACAGAATGGTTGACAATTTTTTCTCTTCAATTCCACAATCTCTGCAGTACCTACTGATATACTACAAAGTCATCATTGTTTGTGTCACCATGAATACTGTCAATGTATTATCACATTTATGAACATGTTGGTTGTATAAAAATACATTGTAAAATATAAAGATAATGAATTCCTCTACCTTTGACAATGGCCTTGGCACATCTGTTGTAGACTTCTTCCTGTGTTGCTATAGGACGAAAAACCCGGTCAAAAACAAAGACTCTCCCCTGCACAGAAACAGAATGGACTCAAGATCATCAACATTCACAAGCGGATGTCATGTACAAATTTGTGCTCAAGGTGATCAAGAGTGTCTACAAGAACTGAGTGCACAGGGAGGAACGTTTCAGATTTGTGTATGCTAATCAGTGCACTTACAGTGTAAGTTCAATGAAATACATGTACATGTACGTCCAGTTTCAGATCCCTGCCTGTCCCAGATTTGAAGAGGATTTCACGTACATGTACACAGCAATACACGAACATCTAACCTACATGTACAGTGTACAGGTGTACAATGTACATGTACGGTGCCATGCCTATACACAAATACATGTACATGTACGGGTAAATGTTGAAAACATATCCAGTTCATGAAGGTGTGTGAGCAACTCATGATCTGCTAAAGTTGTTTTACTGAGTCTTTTTAAAATGTCCAACGCTGGCCTTCTTTACAATCAACACAATTTACATACATATCCCTTATTCAAATATCTCTTCCAAGCATGTCAAGAGCAAAATGACGTACAGGTATCTCAACAACATAAAAAATATAAATCACACATTACATGGCATATACAAGTACAGTACGTATCTAGGGTGCACTTGTATGCGTCCTCAGAGAGAAATTTGATTAATCCATCTCACAATTTATTTGGAAATCAACACAAACATGACAAATGGTTGTTCCAGCTGTCGGCAGTGTCCATGGTGTCAGTACATGTATGGACTTTAACCATGTTAACAAATTTGGCTGAATATACATGTACATGTACAGGTACATGTAGTTCTGATCAGTTGGTAAGAAAGCATGGGGACAAATCAGTGTATGGTTTCTTTTATATTACTGCATGCAGTCACTGTACATGCACATGTGCAGTGTACATGGACAGTGGACATGTACATGTAAGGGAATTTGATAACTTCAGCTTCTTAACTACCTTAATTTATTGAAAAATGTCCATCTGGAACCAAACCTGCTGATACACCAAAGAAAGGACTACATGTACATGAACCAAGAAGTTTTTTACACCTTATCAACTATTAAAGGTACTATTATAGTCAGCCATATTTTAGTGTAGGACAATTCAGTAATGGTGAACAGAGGAAGCGAAGCAACCAGTCTCGCAGGTCATGGCCAGGGCCCAGGGGCTCTTTCAGTGAGAATTTCTTTCCAAATTGATTAAGAGTTCAAATTTATTTTAATTCTTCCAGGTCAAAATGTGTAAATGTTCATGGTGGCTGATGTTTTTTCCTGGATTTTTAAGGATTTTGTGCCAGTCAGTGGGTTGTTTCATCAAGCTTTGCGCCAGACAGTAGAATGCTGCACAGTGGAGATCCCTGACCGGTGCGGACCAGCGTAGCTATAACACTGTGTACATGTACATGTAATGTACATGTACATGCATTTACATGTACATGTAATGTACATGTACATGTAAATGTATGTACCGGTACATGTACCATGAAGGCAGAGCCAGGTACACATACTGTACATGTATCTGGAATACTGTGAAAAGAATTTCAGCATTGGCTGAGTACAATACACCCAGCCAGAAATGAGACCAAAGAAGACTGAGCCTGTGTGTGTAGCAGTGATACATACTACACAGAATGTTTAATCAGGTGATATGCAATAGGATATACATGTACATGTAGGCACAGCCGATCGGATGGTCTAAGAACCAGACTTCAAGTGCACATTAATGCTACACAGTGCTAGACGAAGATGCAAAAAAAGTAAAGGGCCGCAGCGTGTAGCAAAAAAGGGCTACACCATAGACTTGTGCATGAACCCGGTGCTACACAGGGCTACATGGGAAAATGAATTGGACGGGGCCGCGACGTGTAGCAAAAAAGTGCTACCATTGACTGGTGCACATCCCCAGTGCTACACAGTGCTACACGGAAAAATGAAAAAGGAAGGGGCGGCGGCGTGTAGCAAAACATACTACACGATAGATAGGGGTAAATTGATGAAAGGCAAATTATAGAAATAGTCATAAAAAGGATTTCTATTTTTTCCATGGGATTTCAGAGGAAGTAATGAATCCTGCAATCATGAGGTAACCATGGTAACTAGGCTTAGACATGTTGGACAGGCAGTATAAGAAAAAAGTACAGTGGGAACTTGTCAGGTTTACAGGGTATTACTCCTACTTACCACTTAGTACTATTCGGCAACATGTTGGTACGCCTTATCATGATTTATGAGACTCAAAATGGTGACCGATTTTCAATTCTTCTCGAAAAATGCAATCAAACATACTTCAAGTTCAACTGGAAGGGAACATGATAATACTTACCCCCATTGATACAGTGTCTTCATTTTGAAATTTCACAGCAACTACTGAGCCAGATGCCAATTCAGAGTTGTTCATCGGCCGCACCCGACACACTACCTTAATATTGCACTCGTCTGCATCAGCCATGGTAAATCGATTCAATTTCCCGTTGTCTTGAAATCAAGGAATGTGTTTTCAAATACCGTAATCGCCGACTTACTCAGTCCACCAACCAACATCAACATCACACTGTCGACTATGTAATGTAAGTCTATGCGTATAAATGCTAATGTTATGTACAGCCGGCGACTTTCGCAATGGAGAAAATGGCCAAAGAAAAAACATTAACTTACGCCACCAAAATACCACGACCGAGACAATAGGGGTTCTAAGGATACCCTGGGTATGGAACTGACGGCATGGCAGATGTCCAGGGTTAAAATGATACAATTTTGTGGAGAAAATGTATTATTTACATGGCAGAGTTCGACCGACTTTTTCACACGTACAGCATCCACCTACTTTCAGTAAGAAAACTATGACATCAGTGCTGTTTAACAATTCTCGCGAGGCTTTCAAAGTATATGGACTTAGTAGTTAGATTTGAAACAATTTCTGAGATGAAATATTATCTTACTTCCTCCAAAGCTTTTTGATAATCAATAAAAAATAAAATTTTATAACTTAAAAACTTTCGATTGACTTTCAGAAAAATGTTCAAGATACTGTGAAGTCTCGTTTTTCTCTGTAATCACGTGGCCAAATAAATTAAACATGGCGGACCCCAAGTACGCCAATTTACCAGGGATTGTAAGTAAACTGGCTTAAAAATTATAGTATAATAAACTTAATATGTGTTGTGTACTGTGAAAAAGTAAGTTTAGGCAAAATTCACGTGTTTGATTGAAGTATTTAGATGATTTTCGTCCACTAGTGCAGAAAAAAACTTCAATTAAGAGTTGGGTGCGGCCACAGTCCAACACTGTGACGGTAGCACTATATACGCATCGACATGCCTACAGATGCGTACAACCGCGCTCTATTCTGGGTACAACTGTGATGTGTAACGTTACGTGGCATGTACATGTACACGAACATAAACATGTACATGTAGGCCTGCTACTGCGTGATAACAGTGTAGGCCTATGGACGTTTAAAAATTTGTAAGAAAATATTTTGACATGACATGAAGGAAACAGTTTCCTATCCAGACAACATGCTGAGCTACACGTAGCTGTGAGCATGGTGAGAATGCACTTGGTTGTCAGGTTGTCTAAATGGTGTTGGCACAATTTGCTCTCCCATCTTGCCAATGTCCCCTGCATGTTTTGTGCACTTTTTTAATTGCACTGTATTGTTTGCAGCCAGAGGCAGACAACGAAACTTGGCCATTTTAGGAATAGTTCCATATCAGGACACCTATAATTTAATTATTCTCTAAAGTGACCTACATCCTGTGTTAACCATCTGAAGAAGATGGTTGTGATGATGAGGGTTGGTTTGGGGTTGGTTTGCATTGCGGGGAGGGGGGAGTGTGTACTTTCTTTCACATTGCATCATTCAATTGTTTGATAACATTTTGGTATTTTTATCAGTCAATTTTAAATAAACATTTTATTTAATGTGTAAACCTGTATTTTTTACTGTTCTGTTTTGAATATGTAGTTCCTTGTATTTTTATAGTTTTAATGTAATTATTGTAAATCAAACTGAAATTCAGCCTTTGACCGCAAGAGTTTGGGTAATAAACCATAAATTATAATACTAATAACAATTAGAAAGCAAAAAAAAAGTCCAGAAAAGTTCACCTGAGAAAGGAAAAAACCAAGTCGTTTACTTAGTATGCTTAGAAAACAATTACATGGACCTGCATGTAGAAACCAACCAACCTTGTGCATAAGGTGTCCAGCGGCATCTGTAAATGAAACTCTTTCTGCCATTTTTGCCTGTTTGTTTTAAATTATTTTAGGGCCTATAATTTATGTTATGCAAAATTGGTGCATAAACATTTTACACTGTAAGATAATCGTGCACCAGTTTTTATTGTGTGACAGACCATTTTTAATTTATGTGGAGGAGCATAGATTCTTGTAACAGTTATTTTGCTTAAAATTGTTTTATCATAATAAGATAATAAATATGTTCTTTGCACTCAAGAGAATGGATGTGACTAATACCTGAGCCACACTCAAGGGTATTACATCAGCATCCATTCTTTTGAGCTGGTGTCTCAAGGGCATGAATATTGTCCATTCTCCTGCACTTGTCTTAAATGCACATTTGAGACTGGTCACGCACATTCCATTCATAAATACCTTCTGAGTCCATAAGTCAAAACAAATTTAAAACTTACAGATTTGTAATGATTCTGTTCAGCAATTTTACTTCATTTTTTCAAATAGCCCTCTATCCATATTGTAGTGTGTTCTTCCCGTGAGTAGTCGTGAACAATCTCCTACATGTATGAGGATTGGTACACACAAAACTTGTACTGCATGAGGTTGCGCACAACCAGCAGGTGTTTTGTAAACCATTTAAGACCGACCAATTGACAGGTTGCCAACCAATAGGAATGGCTAAATTATCTTTTGTATTTATGTAATGTGAAAAATTACCCAATTTCAGATTGTTTCCCTTTTTTTTTTACTTTTTAAGATGTCTTATTTAATGTTGGGATTCATATTCGTACATATACATGCGTATGTTTACCTTACAGGACACCCAGCCAGATGTGTATGAGACCAGTGACCTACCAGAGGATGATCAACAGCAAGAAGTGGTAATAATAGAGTTTGTTACTTACTATAGTTTAGTTTCTTTAAATGTGCTTCCCTCTGATGCTCAGTGGACGGTGGGCCCCACTGGCTCCCAAGGAAAGTGCCCATGTAAACAGTGTGTACATGCCCTTTTATCGGTTCATGGGCCCTTCTTTATCGTACTAGCTCTATTGCCCACCTTCTCATTATTTCACGTACATCTGGTAATTGAGTGAATGGACTGGGTATGCAAGTACATGTATGTCCAGAAGTTTCCAACGCTCTAGCAGTTCTTTGAAGCTATAGCAGTCTATACTGTGCACTAAAATAAAAGCAAGAGTTCACGCTGGTGTACGTTTCAACTGTCTTTTCCAAATTGCAATTCTATGTAACTGGTCAAAACTCCATACATGTAATAAACGCTAGTTAAACGTTTATAAAAGGTCCGTGTACAAAGGGTTACAGAGCTCTTAGTCTTACAGAGGCTTCCAAATTCTTTCCTTCAATTCCTTTCAAGAGATTAACCTAGGAGAAAGATGCAGAGGTGGAAAAACTTTCTTCCTCCACCCTCCATTCTACTCTGCTTATGAAAAAAACGAGCAATGCCCTGCATTGACATCCCATCATTACAGCCTAAATGCCTGTGAACAACAGAGGGCACTATAATGCTTTCACGGGATTGATCTTGGCACTAACACAGTGTATGACATCATCTGTGCAGAGGCCTATCCATTCTTTGGCTGGAGGAAGCACCCCTCATGAATTTTATTATTGAGAAGATAATTGGTGTAAAAGGTCTTTTGTTATTATAACGCCTTCTGAGAAAGTATATGTAAACATGGTAAATAGGCTCTAAGAATAGACCAATATGAATTTACAGGTCTTTGTACATATTTCAAATTGTGTACGAATTTTCCATCTCCCACGCATATTGACATTCTATTTTTCTCTGTAAGCTTAAGGTCTGGAATTATTATTTGGTTACTGTAGTAAACAATTTTGAAAAGACTTTGTATTTTCAATATTTGAAATGAGCCAAGTTTGCATCTTTGCCTCGTCGCACAACAATATCATTTCAATCATTTTTTTGTCTTTTAAGGATGAGCTGAAGAGTGAGAGTGTGGAACATTTCAATGTGAATGCAAACACTGCTTTCAGCAAGTTCAAGGACAAGAAATTACTAGATGGAAATGTAGGTAAGACAGACTGTATTCAGCAAGATACTCTAATGGCATTACTCACATAATTGGAAACTCTTAAGGTCAGTAACAGGTGTACGCAATCGCTCAGACTTCAATTTTATTCTGTTACTTCAGGCAAGGAGTGGCCATCAGTAATAGAATATGAATTATACACCAACCCAGATCTCCAAGTGTCTGGTGACTCTTTAATTCTAGGCAAAAATTGATTATTTTGTCTCAGATTTCTCTGACCGGGTGAGCCACTCCAGAAGGACAGGTTACTTTGTGCCTAGGACTGAGTATGAAATAGTAAGTATCTAAAGTTGCCTTTAATAAAAAAATTTTTTCTGAAATAAGTTACACATTTCAGACTTGATTTGTAAAGACCAGTCCAAAACTGCTGATTTGAAAATCCAAGTTTATAGTTGTTTGAGAAAATTTTTAATATTGAAAACTTTACAGGCTTTCTGTTTGCCTAACCAGCTGACATAGTTACTAATTCCAGAAACAACCACTCCCTGATTTGAAATATCTGCGGATATTTCTATTCAAACGACAGAGAATGGATGATTAACCCCAATAGTCCTCAATTCTGAACAGATGGAGGATTGAGGACTGTTAGGGTTAAATAGGGATGGCGTATCACAGCAAGTCTGTATTTGACTTTCTTTATTCTTGCTTGTAACATCAGCTTGAAGAAGGAACAGAAATCAAGGAGACACCAGTCCAGAAGTACCAGAGATTACAGCATGAAATCAGAGAGCTGTCAGATGAAGTGGAACAACTTAAAGTAAGCCTTTAGTGCTGATTTGCCAGTTTAAAGTGTATACAGTCGAACATGCTGAATACAAGCTCGAAGGGACTCTTCAAAAAACATTGTCTTACAGTAAACCTTGTATTATACGTGTTGACACTTATCTCATAGAGTGCAAGCCTGGTGTCATGCACCAGCAGGCATTGTTATACACTATGGCAATGTACATGTACTGCAGGCCTACATGTACCGTACTATATGTCATTGGACACATGTAGGGCTTAAGAAATGTATAGTGGGTCAAATTTCAAAGAACTACATGCTGGGCCGACAAACTTTACGCAGCACAAGGTTCACTGTCTTGACTCCAAAATTTTGACAGCATGTCCTGTCCAAGTCAGTCAGTCACTGTGTCTGTTCATCTTTTTTTACCAGCAAGCAGCTGAGGATTCCAAATCCCCCAGTGTAACACCAGTGTCTTTGATGCAGCAGCTCAGTGGTCTTCAAGAGCAGCTGTATGGCTTACACTTAGAGAAAATTCTTGGTTCAGATGCTATGCTGGAGGCTGCTGACCCCCAGGGAACTCTGCCAAAGTAAAAGAAGATTTTGAAGCTAGTCTAACTTACTTTATGACAGATTTTTAAGTTTATACAATTAAAAGATTTAGAGAAAATTTGGTAGAGAAATGTATGGTTTGTTGTGCTGTTTCAAAACCTGTCATGATTGATAGAATTGACATCATGTTTAACTGGTCCGAAAAAGAGCAGATGTGTTTACGTAACCCATGGTGTTAAGATTTTTCTGTCCCTGGATGACATTTAACTCGTTTTACTTGAAACTGTTTGGTAGGAAGTTATTAAGTCAGCTGGAGGCTTTCAAGAATCTTAGTGTGCAATCAGCTGGTAAATCCCCTGCCAAGCCTGACCCCCAAAATCAAGATGGCTGCATTACCTATGAGCTACACTACAGCCCGGAGCAAGCCAAATTTGCCCAACTCTCCAAGGTAAACATTATAGACTTATACATGTACTGGCTGTCAGTTTCTGTTCTGCATTGCCTGTACTAACAGAGCTTGTCCAAAATTAAACTTGATCATAGCTTTATTGTTTTAGTTCATTGAGCTACATTGTGTACAGGAAGGACTCAAAATGCTCGCATAATTGAAAGTGAAACTCTGGAAGTGAATTCATCAGTGTGCATTGTGTAAATATGGCCGAAACTTTTGAAACTCTGGTCAGTATTGCACATCACTTGAAACTAATGAAATAAAATTCTGATAATCAGCCTTGTGTAAAATTAATGACATGTCCATTACACACAAAATGTGTGTAGGTTAATGGAGTAAATATTCCAAAATGTACAACTATAAAACTAAATGCACTGCAAGTCCAGTCCTTTCACCCTTAATAGGAAATGACTATTACAAGAAGGGACATACGTTTTACATCCCATATTTTTTTTTCATTCTCTTTTACAGGCATCAGAGTTAGAGCAGAGGTTAGCCAAGTTGGAGGACATTATCGGGCAAGACTCACAGAAATTTGTAAGTTCCAGGAACTTTGATGGAGATTATTCTTTGGATATGTCAAATTTTTCCTACAGAACATAAGCAAAATGTGTGATTTTTAGCTGTTGCTTCGCTTGTTTTATCTCCATGTAACATACAACTTCCCTGCTTAGTAGTGCAAGTGTTACACAGTTTGGTTACTGAGCTTGGTGTTTAATAATAAGTACAGTAAACTCCGGCTAAGTCGGCACTCTCAGAACTCCAGAAATTATGACAACTTACGCAAATGCCAACCTGTGCTGTAAGTCGTCATTTTGCTGACTTACACATACACATGTATTGCCTATGTACATTATGATTCCTTGCATTAATTCAGTGGCTTTGATTTACCCTGCTTTATTTCTACCTCCATGGTCGATCCCAGCAAAGTCATTCTCTATTATTATCCTCACGGGCCACAAATTCGATAATTGATCATGTGCCCCTAAGGACGAAGCAAGGACGGCAAGCCACTTGCATATCACACCATGACACAACAGTGCAGTTCGTACATGTACGTGATACAGTTATGGTAGAGAAAACTTGACACTCATCTGCACACGTATTGGTAGAGTTTGTTCAATAAGGCGACCCCCAAAATGGACAGAGCACTAGAGGGGTTGCTTGTATTGATGTACTCATGCTGGCCGATTATCAACTAAGGCCTGTGCAGCTAATAAACAGACATCAGTCAAGCAGTGTGGGACTTGACACTTTTTGGCAACTGTGGCAAAGGAAACTGATATTGAAGTGCAATTTTTTTTTAATGCCGACTTCCACAAAGGAATTTTTGTGGTCTTGTGGAAAAGGGACCAAGATAAACATGCAGACTTATATGAACTGACGACTTATAAATGCCAACTTCTAAGTGAAATTTGCAATGAAAATGCATTACAGACGATAGGGACTTTTGTCAAAAGGCCAACTTAGATGGTATGACGAGTTACGCGATGCCAACTTAGTCAGAGTTTACTGTATTTCATCAATTGCTGATATAGTTTCTTCTTGTGATTGACAGTCCTTCCTGACAGCTGACACAAGTTCCAAGTGTCTTATGGTAAGTCAATCCTTAACAATGGCTATTGTAGCTCAAGCTGCTGGATTACTATTGTTGAATGGAAATAACAAAGGATAGTGCTAATCATAATGAATGTCAGACTTGAAGGTACAGTTATGGCATGAAGGACTCAATCAATTTCAATGTGCAAATCTTTTTGAATGGCTTAGTTCTGTTACAATAGAATTTGGAAGTTGAAATAAGTCCAAACATTACTCCCTTCTCATAGGACGCAGCAGTACAGTTGCAGGCCCAAATTGGTCTCTTAGATCCACTGCAGCTAGATCATGCTGATGCTCGCATCCAGGGACTTCTACAGCATCTTAATCAAGTCAAGGAAAAAAAAAAGACAGCAGAAGATGCAGGCAAGGAGAGCAAGGTTAGTGGTCAATACGTAGCCGGCAGTTGGTATGGTCTAGACCGTGAGACAGCTGAACGCAATGTGTAGAATTCCCCTTACATCCACATCATAAAGCTCCTTCCTAGAAAGCAGAAGCTGTTCATAAAGCCTTTATTACAGGGGTCTCCCTACCCCAAATGCTTGTATGGATGCCATGATGTGATCAGTTTTGGACTGGGCAACTTGTCTCCACTTTGCATTGAATAGGAAACACATAAATTGATTGCGTTTAATTTTTGTTGTCTAATACGCTGGACAGTTTGTTGCATAAAAATGCAGGAACAAAAATAAAGCATAAATCTACCCACATTCATGAGATTATCCCCAAATACTGTTTTGTCGTTCATTGTCAACTATCTGCACAGATTTCAGAGTTGTATGACATGGTGGAGAAGTGGGACGGTATTGCAGACACAGTACCTGCAATTGTGGAGCGACTGCAAGCACTGAAGGATTTACATGAGCAAGGTACAAATCCAATGTTGACATCCATACTGTTACTATGTGAGCTGTCTGATTTCCCCCTAACCTCAGAGAGTGTTATGGATCTGTGGTAGACATGATTGGAGTGCTTAATCAGCAATTTACTGATCATCTTAAATTGTGTTGTCTTATGACATTGATTGTCTCAGAGTGAGTTATTTTGATCCCAACAGCTCTGCAATTCAGTCAAGCTCTGAGTCATCTGGACACAACCCAACAGCAGCTGACTTCAGCTCTCAATAACCAGGATACATTGTTGAAAGAGGTACATTAACCATACTGGCTGACTACACAGACGTAGAAAATTAATGGGATTCATACAAGTTTATTTTGGGCAGCAAATATTGCAGACTAACCAAGTTGTGAAGACGGAATTTCCAGCAGTTTTAGGTCTTTTGATCATTTAAGCATTTTAATCATTTCATGAAGTCCAACAGAATTATTTTGGTCATTTTGATGTCAAATTCAGTAACTTTAAGGATAAGGATTGTGGGGAAAATATTTATTTCCCATTTTTAAACAAGTTTCCGAGTTTTTTTACACTTGTATTTCTTTGTTTTTTTCTAACACAGCTGAAACAATCGTTTGCAACCAACATGACCAGTATCCAAGCCAATTGTCACTCCCTTGAAGAACGAATGAAGAAATTCCAGAAGTGAAACCTGTCATGAGAAGTCTATATGTATTTATTGCGGTGTGACAATTTTGCTCATGTTCATCATCTCATGGTTCACTTTTTCTCAAGTAGTGCTGAACAGTAGTACTAATATCTTTTGCTATTGGAAAAAAGGGAAGAAAAAAATATTTCATTCTTGACATGAAAATATTTTAAAGATGCAAATATGGAAACTGGTCTGTAATGACCTTAGAGCATAAAACGACAAGAAAAAGTTTCAAAGATTTAAATATATTATGATGTAAACTTGTTGTTAATGACCAGAGAGTGAAATGGTAATATGAGCACAATAAACAAGCCAGGTATTGCCATTTTGCTATTTTCTGATTAGAAATTTGGGAAACTTTGGTTCTCATTTTAACACATCAGAAGATGTCTTATTAGTTTAGGTTTTTAAGTGTTTTGTGTCTTACCATTTAATTTTTCTGAATACAACAAAGTTTGCATTTTTTGCTAATTATGCCAGAAACAAACTACAAATTGGTATTTTAGTGGATTACATTTTGTCATTTTGCAGTTTTGATTCTTATCAGGGCTTTATTTTGTAACTTCTATTTTTTTGTGGATGTTATAAATTCCAGTCGATACTTCCAGGGATATTTCAAATGCATCATTGGCAAGTAGTAAAAAGTAAAAGATGCAAATGGTATCAGTAAGCTTGTCAGGTATCTAGTTATAAATGCATGGTGATGTCATAGCAATTCATAAATATTGAAGAAGTCTGTATTCATCTGCCCAAACTTGACATATGCTTTTTATATAAGTTATCACTCGAGCTCGGGTGCAACACAGAATAATGTAGTGTGTCTGTGTAGATGCACTACATTTATTATTGTTTTGTCATACCTCTGTCTTAAGGAATTTATCCAAAGAAACTAGCTCTGAATTTCAGAAGACCATAGGCCTACTGTCAAACTGTATTAATTAACAGAGGACAAGTTCACGTCATGTAGTCTGGTTAGCGGTCCCTGCATTATCTAAAAGGCTGCGGGGATGGGAACTCGTGTTATACAAGCGTTACCTATGCACAAAAGCATCATGGGTACCATGCAAAATTGACTAAATGAGGGACAATAGTCCCTCTCGAACTTCCCGAAGCTCTTCTGTCTTGTGCATGTACATGTACTATCGGCAGAATGAGATGTCTCACAGTGTAGCATACGGATATACATGTACATCTATTGCCCCGTCGTGACGTCATGTGATCATTCTGGCCAATAATTTGAACAGACAGTATCCAAGAGAGAGGTATGACAATACATGCACGTGTTGTGTTCCACAAGCACAAGCGTGATAACAAATGTATCTTCAGGCAAACTTGACACACAGTAAAGATGTTATTGTGGCCCATGTGCACAAACACGCCACCTTTGAATTTACAGTAAATTTTCGTTGTGCATTTTGCTTTTAGTGTAAACAACGTGCATTACGTGACAAGTGATATGAACGGTCCGATACAGTTGTATGTTGGATCAACCAATCAGAATTGATAATTTGAATTTGCTAAAAGATAATACAGTACATGAAGTCAATTTGTAGTGAAGAAATCACACAATCTGGATAACAAAGACAAGGACTTGAGGTTCAAAGTAAGATAAAGGGTTAAACTGTACATGCACTGTTAGTGAGTTTGTTTTCTACTTGTCCAGATACATGTACGAGGTTTGAATCTACTGTCAACAGTGTGAAAATGTTGGACAATTACCAAATAAATCCTAGGTCCCGACCCTGAACTGTTCTGTGTAGATCTTGTAGTGGGCCAGTACTTATAGTAGTCATTATTACTCCGCAAGTCCTGGGTACGTGTACATTCAAACACTTTTAATCAATAATACAAGGTTCCTGTTATAACAATGTAATCTGCAAAGTCCAAAGGACCTCTTACTAACGAGGTTTGACTCTATTTGTTTTTGGTAAAAGTGATAAAATTACACATTGAAATTGCATCTTGCAGTTGTAGCAGTCAGTGCACTTTCTTTTGTACCAAGGGTGCAAGTGGCCACTTAAAATAAAAGCTGAAATGTAAAAAGGTCTCCACACTTTTGTACAGACAAGATGTACAAAAAAGATGCAAATCAGGGTCAACACGTACATAGCTGGAATCAGTCAAAAAGCTAAATTCGCACACCTGTTGTACCCACTCTCAAGTCTGTGCTTCCTTTGACACGCTGCATTCCTAGCATGTCACATTTTACAGCCAAAAACACCCATTCACTGAAGCAGCCAGGTCTGGGTCTTGTAGACACAACCCATAATGGCCATTTCCTCTCATATCCATCCCTTGAATAGAGCTGGCCGTCATCAAGTTTTCCCTGCTTTTCACAGTGACTGCAAGTTTAATACACGTACATTGGTTTTGACAGTAAACTAAATGCACTCAAATTCAAAGCTAGCTGTTGAGGGTTGACCTTCTCCATGAAAATTGTTGAATTTGCCAGAACAACACAAATGAGTGGCAATAGAGACAATTACTTCTTTTGCACTGATTATCAGAGCGCTTTATTCTCACCAATTTCTGTCTTCACCAGGCTTACTTAACATATTTTACAGTGTGCCCAAAATGTTGATTACTTCAGAACCGCAGTTTTGTGAAGAACCACTTGTTTTTTCCTGTCTTGTACCTGCATTAAAGAAAAAATTAAGAAAACGTCATGACTCAAAGAAAAGCATGGACACTCTGAGGTGTCCATGCGTATTTTCATCACTTGCAACAGATATTGCTATTTAGGAAGGCATGAGCATGCAATGCTGTCGGAGTAAGTTGTGAAAAGCACAGCACAATGGTTGACATCTGGACAAGTCAGAAGTCTGGACATAGCATTTTCTCTCCTACAAGTATATATTTTGTCAAAGACCACCTCAGATACATGTATAGTCTACCCTTATTAACCCGTAAAAAAATCTGATGAAACTGCCATACCATTGATGGTCCAGCTGTTAAAATGTGTGAACTACCAACATGTGACTTAACAAAATGCGAAGCACCTTCAAGAAATTTTACAGGAAGAAAGTGTTGTAGACTCACCTCTCCATGAACTTTCCTTTGACCTCTCTCTTTGCCTTACGCCTGAGAGTAGGGTCTCGGAAGGCATCTTTGTTGACGACCTGTTTGTCAATGTTCACATCGACAGAGTATCTGAAAATTTGCAAAAAGTATAGGAATTATTAGATTTAAAGGACTCAGCAAAATGGAGATTAGCATATTGATTTCAAAGGAAAATAACATCTTATATTTAGCTAAAGATGCGAACACAAAAATTACAACTGGACATTATATTTGATGTTTTAGCAGTATCAGAATTGGGTAAATGCTGTTTGAAAGGAAAATTTACTTTCCAATCACTGCAGGTGCTTAGCCTCAATACTTTTTTTCCATTTTTTTCCTTTCTCATTTTGTTGTTCCATAGTGATATTGGCATTGGTTGTTGTGCCACGTCACTTTGATGGAGACAACCTACCGAGTCGGCATGAGGTGGTTGTAGTTGTAAACCTTGACAAAGGCCTTCAGCTTGGAGCGCTGCTTGACACGCTTTTTGCTCATGCGTTTGGTCACCTTGCGTGGGTACCGGGCAACACCTGCAACAAGAGCATGGCCGTACGTCCTGTCAGTGCTGCCATCATCGTGGTTCTAGGGAAAAATAACTCAATCATATGAAATGCAGTACAAAACTGATTTAAACTCAACACTGTAGAATTCAAAAGAAAAATGAATGATACCTATAATTAAATTCACAGATAAACGTATTAACAGCTTTCGCTTCTAAACATATTAACTGGATCTCAAAGGTGGAACTGTAATTGCAGCATTCTTCAGATTCTGTCCAGTATCAGTATTGGAGACAAGCAATATGTACATCACTACATCACACACACATGTACACTGATTTTATCACCTTCACAATGATAGCTTTGCGGCCAGCAAAACGTCCAGAGAGAACAAGCACCACTCTGCCTGGTTTCAGGAACTTGCCCATGGCTGCTCCTGCGTTTGGATGAGAGGAGTCAGAAAGAATACATGTACATTAATCACTGAGGACAAAATAAAGTACATTTTCAAGACACTGGTTAGTATTTTGGATTTAATATCCCCCCTGAGCCTGTTTAAACAACAACTAATAACAGGAATAAGGTAAATGGTTTGCGGTGACACCATGTAGCATGAACTCTGATCTCTTTTGTGAGCATGTGTGGCTCCAAAAGAAGCCACACATGCTCACAAAAGCCACACATGCGTGCAAAAAATTGTCAAACTCCAAGTAAACCAGCTCTGGGCTGGTTTACTCAACGTTTCATTGTGTGTTTTGACAGTGTGCTCCGTCCGACGTCTTAAGTAGTGTCTGGCCAGGAAGAGTTCCATATACAGAGGCCAGTAATTCTTCCCTACAGTGACCTAATATCCATCAGGAAGCAAAAACATGTCCAGAAAAGTTCAAGTTAGGAGGGAAAATGCAAAATACTAAGTCCTTTACTGAGAAAACAATAGTTTCATAGGGTTTGTTCACTGGGTGTCAAGTGGCATCCAACTAGCCTAGGCCTAGTGTCCCAAAATGCCCAACCCCACAGCCAGGCACCCATCACAAATCAGGGACACTCCCTGAATGTGGAGTAGTCCCTCTATTTAGGGACAAAATCAGTCATCTGCCATAAGGAATAAAATGCATGCACTACACTATACTGTGTAATTTTCTCACCAACCCCAACTGGGACCACAAAAGGCCCAATGCATCGCATGCAATGGACATGATAGAAATTAGTTACTTTAACTTTTTGGCGAAATCTCTATTTCCACTTCAGGAATCGTTGGGTTTACCTTTCTTTAAGGCATAATTGCAGAATACCCCACCATTCACCTTGCCCACCTTGTAGCCGTGGATACGCAGATATGGAGTCACGCTTCCATCCACAAAGACCACATCCGCGTACCCGCTACTCACATTGGATTTAGTATATTCTTCTACTTTCCCCATTCATTCTGCATTGCAGGATGCACAAGGCCTATTTGGTATCCCTGTATCCGCTCCACGGGACCCACATTGGACTTAGTATATTCTTCCGCCTTCCCCATTCACTTTGCGTTGCAGGACACACAAGACCCACTTTATACTCGCGTAGCCGCTCCATGGGACCTACATTACTCCCTCTTTAATTTATGTACAGACGTTTTGTGGAATAAATAAAGAATAAATCAAAATAAAAAATGTGAATACAGCACAAGCAGTCAGCACAAAACCGTGGTAAAACGTAACTGAATGTGTCTCGTGCATGTCAAAAATCATTCATATCAGGCGAAAAGCGAAAACCAATACACAAAATACATCACATTTTGTTCTTCACATACTGAGTAACAGCAAAACTCTCCAGTATAGGATCCTATAGCTTCTTTCGAGCGGATGATACCAGATTTTTTGAGCAACTAATCGTTCCTTACCTTAGCTTCTCGGCAAACCGGAAGAAAAGATCGTAGTTGGGAATTGTGGGAAAAGACGCATCAGCCGTGCGCCCGCGCCGACGGCTATTTGGTGTGATGCGCGGCCGCGGCGGTTGGATCCCGGGATCGGGAAGACCATCGTGGGCGTACACCATCTTCTGACCGTTCTGGAGGGGAGAAGTTCAACTGGGAGGCTATATCTGGGTATGCCCTCAGAGAGGGAGGCTCGTTATACATTTATATGTACTTTCTCACCTGTCTGATTGACAACCATCCCTGTGCTCCACTGATATTGCAGAGAGTAGTAACCATAATTCAACTAGTAATATACTAAGTTCACTTATGGGGTATTCAGGTAACAAACTGAAAAGAAATCAAGAAAGAGATTATCCACTCAATTTGAAATGAATTGAATTTGAAATAAATTTGAATTTGAAAAGGGGTATTCGTTTGCACCAATAGATTCGATACCCTGCATTTCGGGAGAATCTATATATCCGATCCCCCCCACCCCCACCCATGATGGAAATAAGTTACCAAACAACATATCTTATAAGCTGTCGACTGAAAAATATAGAGGCATGAAAATTAATTTAGCTGGCTTCAATCGACCTAACTGTCCGTTTAGACATCTAGATTATATCTTAATAGTACATTTTGAACAATTCATGAAGGATTATTTACAGGTTCCATGTCACATTCTTTACTGTCTATGACCATGTACACCGAAATTCCGTATGGGGGGCACATAGGCCTACACGTACACCTCTGCTGCAAAGCGCGGCGTATCAGCTCATGAGCCGCTCTCACCAACTTCATAAGGCATCAAATTACATGTCCAGTGTTGCCCCTGTCACCTTACAGGCAAAATCCAACTGATGGCGTCATCATTCGAGCATTTGGGATAAATGTGTCCAATTTTGAAGTTTGCTGTCCACCACACTTCACTTTACAATAGTCAAATTTGCATTTGAAAGACGTCATTATGAAGTCACATCCCCAGTTGTTTCTTGGGTCCAAGAGTCCACAAAATGTCTTGACAATTTCTAGATATCATGCAAATATGGACAGAGGCAAAACAAACGGTGAAAGAAACACAGGCTTAAAAACACCATGAAAACACGACGACTTGTAGAGGGCGCTCACTCTATCGTTTCAATGCATGACAGTCATTTGTGTCTAACGGTACTATCCCCTGTCCCACGCATCGTGGCCCTGGAAAGACGAGCGAATCGTCATTACCCCGCCAAAAATTCACGACTCGCTCTCAGGCTCTAGTCCACTTTTCGAGGCCAGTAATTAAGCTGGGCGTACGCGACTGGTCAGGCCACTTGAATTTTACACTTCTTGTTTCAGGAATATCTACTTTAATACCAATGCCATTCAGCGCAAATGGATGGCCTAATCTTTGTCGAGCTCTCAGGTCAAAACTTCCACGAGCGCATTGACACCTGCAAATTACCCACAATGCTTTGTGCGTGAGCAGCTGTGACGTATTTCCTTCTCAGGATTTTGTAAAATTCTGTTCCACTAAATGTTCGGTACAGCGGAACATTATTATACACAACCACGGACCATATCCTGACATTTTGACTTAGGCGTGGACAATTTACATACATACTGAAGCAAATAAGTAAAACGTTTGCTTTATGACTGAAATAAAATTACAATGTGTGTGGCGGGGTGGGAATGTGGTGGTGTCCCATATCAAGGTATGTGTACTTCAGGAACTTCATAAATGATAAAGCACATCAGTGCAATTTTGTTTGTGTCAGTTGACAGATTGTTAACACGAGACAAAGACTAAAAAGAAAGGAAAATGACAACAGTCTGACCAATTATTAAAAATAAAAACAAAGAAACATTTTTATTGCGCAGATACTGTGACAGATATACTCAAATGCGCATGACATACCCATCACTGGCTAAGGTGTAAAATTAGGTGTTGGAAAAAGCTTCCTTAAATAGATGAGTTTTTTAAACAATTTTGAATGCATCAACAAATCTGCCATTTCTTACATGAAAGGGCAGTTTGTTCCAAAGCTAGAAGCTGCACAAACAAATGCACGGTCTCCAAGAGTAGCCTTAGTTCTACCATAGGGGTGGCGAAATCTGGCTGTCGTGTGAACTGCGAAGACTGTACATATGTGGCTGGGTATGTGGCCAGTAATTCAGAGATTTAACCTGGTGCTAAGCCATGCAAGGCCTTAAATGTTATCAAAAGTATTTTAAATACAATTCTTTGTCAAACAGACAGCCAGTGTAATTCAACAAGGGGGAAAGTGGTAGCAGTATTTGCAGAGTTACACCCAAGTCTAGCCGGCTAGCACAATTTTCGAATATGATGAGGAAGGTTATACAGATAATAAAAGGCACCCTTAGTTTTGTGTCGATCCATTAAAGTGGGAATCAAACTGCACACCCAGATTTTTGCAATTGTGGATGGCTCAACACGAGATGACCTTTGACCCTTTGGCTAAATTTTTACCCTGATTGTAGTCATTAAAACGACTATAACTTGGCAATGCAATGTCCAATTTAGAAATTTTAAATTTCATTTTGCTCCGTAGAATCTACCTTTTTATACAAGATTACTTTGAATAAAATTGTACTTGTTAAATTTGTTGTGAACAGCCTACTATTATGCTGTTGACGGATGTTTGTCTTGGCAAGCTGCCTAAGTGTTCCAACAGGCAAAAAATTTGTTTTATTATCATTGAGCATCAGTTTGTTACTAATGATCCTTGAACGAACTTTTATGCGAGCAATACATGTACATTGCTGTACTGAGTGTCGATAGAAAAAGGAAATATTATTGAAAATGCAGTAGTCAGTGGCACTCAAGTGATAGTGCAGTGGAAGTTGAACAACACACTTTGATCGGAGAAGTGAGAGTACCGCCACCCCAGAGGCTGCCCCCACCCCGTGCCCAAAAGGTCTGGACCCCATGTACCGACACCCGGCCCCCATCTGCCTGTGGGCCGCATTTGGGTTATGCTGATATTCACCACATATTTTCCACCCATCGCCTACTAAGTACTAGCAATGACTCACAGATTAGGCCATGACAGGACATGGTTCCAGCACATGAAAAATAGAATAAAGTACGCACCCCCTCCTTTAATATGGTAGGCGTAAAGCAGATTCACTGGTACTCAACGCTCGGTAACTGGATTTCTTTAATTTGGAAACCAGCGAGAGCCTCGCGTGATGTTGCGGTAAGTGTGCCGGTGACTAATGCCTAGTGCGCATGCATGCGTCCCAGCGCCATACACCCATTGCATATACCGGGCATGTGGAACAATGGCGGGTGGTCTATCGGCGTACGTTTTCAACGAGCGATTTTGGTTTCCAGCTAATGTAACCTGGGCTGATCTTCGTAGTACTGAAGATGCGAGATACCCACAGATTGAAGATATCAAATATGTTGCGATGCTTTCAATCACCCTCGTAATAATAAGGTTATGCTGCGAAAGGTCAGTTCTTACATGGGGGTGTAGCCGTGTTTTGACAGATGATGCTATGGCATGACGGGCTAGGCTTGGTATTGAGTATATGTTGCGGTTGTTGTCTGGCACTGTCATACATGTATTTACAATATTCTTGTCGATACTATATCACTAATCTTTTATGTCAGTGTTTAACCTGTGTTTGTATTTTTCTGTGTTTATATTATGGAAATGCAAATAAAGCATATCACTCCGTTTTCCACTTCATCAAAGCTGTCTTCCTGGGGACTATGCGTTAGGCCTTGGGAATCCAATTTCTATGAACACCAGTTTCCATCTTCAGATCTTGGAGAAGTTGGACTAGGTCTAAAATTTAGAATGGAATGGGTTAATAATGATCATTCATCTTTAATAATTCCAGATCCATTCAAATCCATCATGTCCACAGAACGTCAGGTTCTGGTTGATGTACATAGGCCCACATGTACGTGTATTTCCAAGTCAGACAATAGGTCACATGATATTCATCAGTTCATGTATTTATACCCCTTGTAAGTGAACATGTATGTAGATGGAAAGCTCCCCACATAACCATTCCCTTGTAGATTGCTGGAATTTCCTGCATGATTTTTAATATTTTGTACAAATAGGTCTAGCGGGTTCAGTAATTGAAAGGTAGAATGATTTCATGTGAAAAACTGTTTTGCCCCTTTGCAACCTACAATTACAGTACATGTACCATACATGTTCAAACATGCAATTCTCACACATTTTATGCTAATTTATGCACACTTTGTGTTTGCTTCACTTGCGGACCCCATTACTCTGTGGGGCAGCGCGGACATCCAGGATTCTCGCAAAATGGTAGGTACCATGCTGGTGAAAACAGTGACCATGGTGATGCACGTACCAGCCAGGCCAAGGATCAGGCTACACAATCTTTTCTTTGATCAGTATGCACGTGTGTGCTCATTGCAGTTGTTTTCATCGGCATGGTGTGGTTACTACCCGCTATTTTTTAAAACTCCTGGATGCCCGTGCTGTCCCATTGATTTTACTTCCTCATAATGTACAGTGTTCATGTACATGTTGCGTGATGTCATTCATGTCTTCTTCGAAATTAAGTCCCTTGTCCGACATCATACATATATACAGTCCATGAACCATTGCATCAGTTTGGAAAGAATATATGCAGTGAAGGCAGAGCTTTACTTTAAGCAAATATTTACATGTGTATAATTCAAATCAATAAATCTGTTTCATATAAAGAAAGTAATTGGTAAATTTGGGAAATGTGTACACTTGTACTTGTACATTGTACTTTACATGTACATACTGACATAGTGCCTTTTACATATGCTCATACATGTACATGCATACATTTGTTCATTGGACAACCAAATATTTGACTGGGTATGACACCCTGGGTACATGATTTACAAGTATAGGGAAGAAACGTGAAGAAAACGTGATTTTTATCATCTGGTGATCCCAAATCAACATTTTTGGAATTTTTTAAGTTCTAGATTCATCGGATGTGCATATTATACATGTACATGCATGGTTAGAATTCTGTAACCAGAGAAAAACTGAAAAGAAAAAGTATCGCAAATCAATTCAAAGACTCCAATAACTCATGTTTGAATTAAGTAACAGATACATGTACATGTAAATGAGAGTACAGGATGTCACAGAACTGTCTGTTTTGAAAGCTCTGTCAGCCAAGAGAATAAGTCCATTTAATCATGCTTGAACAGTGAGGGTTTTCTGGTACTTAACTTAAATGCATTTACTGTGAATTGGCATACACATCATGCATGTATGTACATGTAGGAACTTACACACTGCTCATGACATACATGTACCAAATGCTTTGCTAACAATACTGTCTTTGCAACTTCTGATGATTTATTCATGAAAGAATCAATCAATTCAGCTTTATGATAATCTCTTCTGAATCATCCCCTAGCATTGTCATGTGGGCTGATCCTAATCTAAAGGCCACACAGTCACATGGACTTTAGAATTACGTGTAGATGGGAATCTCTACACATGTACCACTTCAGGTGAGGCAGTGTGACATTTTGGACAGATGTGTCCTTGTGCTAAGAAAAAAGGATCTTGCTTATCGTTTACATTGCCCAATGTAAATGTACATGAGTTTGTATGCCCAGCAGCACACCACAAAGAGGTCAGAGTGATGCATGAACATGCATTATTAAGTAAACAATATCAAATATTTGAAAATTCATTAGTAAGAAAACTTTGAACTATGAAAACAGTAAATGGAAATTTAAACAAAGCTCAAAAATCAATGGAGAAGATTAAATTTTTCTGGGAAAATACAGAGAGTAATTTGGATTATTATGCATTTACATAGATTGATTACACCTAAAATTCTGTGAGTATGATATGTTCGATAATTTGTTCATTATTTCCTTGTTACAAGGAAAACTGATTTACTAACAAAATACCTTTTTATGTACGTGTATCTGGTATAACAATAGGTTTAATGAAAGGTGCCAGTAAATGGCCTGATATGGGATGGTTCCTGTACGTGTATGTACGTAATGGCAGATATAGACTATGTAGACTGGCACTTACAATGTACACAGATTATGTATTTTCTTTATTATTCATGTTCTGTTTTGTACTGTTCCCATCTTAGTTGTCTATGGTGGGCTTGTAGTGTCAGATAACAGCCCATGTACAGACAAGCCACCCATGTATGCACATGTACATGTATATTGTATGTACATGTTCGTGGAAAGGGTCTATACATACATTTCAGTTGCCTTCCTGTACATTGCTTTCAAATAGACATGTACATATACAGTGCCTGATGGGGATATGACATGAACATGATGAACAACCCTGACTGTAACTTTTTGTGTATTTACTCCTCTATCAGACTATTGATAGAGTACATGTAGATTGACCTACTGTAAAAATCTATTGAAAGTCTGTTGGCCTTTTGTACAGTGGGGGAAGGTTGGCTTGCAAGTTGCAGGTGTTTATTGCAAGCATAATATGGCTTTATTGCCGTATTTGTTATGAAGTACACTCACATTTATGGGATTGTAGATCTGGCTATTGTTGATGAGTCAAGTCCCTGTCATACATGCATGACTTGGGATGAGCAAATTTTGCACCATGCAGGGAAGGATAAATTAACCATTAAAACAGCATTGTAAACTTTATAGTGTGTTGTAAAAGCACTTTAGTCAGATTGATGTGTGTACATTTTGCATCTGTTTTATACTGGGAGTCCAATTTGGAAAGCCATGTATGCACAAAACATAGAGTAATGTACATGTACGCAATGTCCAGTGTCATGCTGTCAAATTATGTACTCATACATATATGCTGCACCTTGCAGTACGTGTACATTGTACAACTGAAAAGATAGTGCTGTGAAGAAACTTGCTGAATTGCTGTGAATTATGCCACACATACTGTACCCTGTATGTGTGCATGTAAAAAAAGATGCAGTCTACACATTCAAACATGTCAAAAGGGATTCTACGGTAGATACCTTGGTTGTCATGGAAACAGGCAGTGGCTACAGGCATTATAAATGGCTTAGAGCATTTTTCAGATGCGTCCTAATTATGCCAATAAAACAGTGCATTAAATGTATGTGATGGGGGGCTTTTTTCATGGATAACTTTGTATACATGTACATGTAGGAGCCTACATTTATATACACAAAGTCTGCTGAAACCTAGATGTACAAACTGGTGTGTATTGTTGTGTTTCAGGTACAGTACATGTACATTTTCTTTAACAAAGTCTCTTTCTAAATGTACTTTACAGTGTATTCTTCAGTTGACTTGATTTAGGGTTAAAGGTTGTAACTTGTGGAAGTTTTTCTACAGTTCTAATTTTGTAGAACTTTCATGGAAATTCAGTTTGTACTCTTAGAATTATTTTTGGATCATGCTTGACAGGTTAAGACTAACAACTTGTTGATAGAGTGAGTTGTGATTTGAGAGAACTCCTCTGCAGCTAGCTACATGTACATGTACAAGTATATATTCATATGTATTGTTTAATGGAAATCAAAGTCAATGTTTTACCTGCACTGTTATATTCATCAGGATATCAAACACCACGAAACATATGAAATAAACAAAGCGCTAGGCAAAATGGAAACTAAAAATAAAAATGTCATTTTAATAAGACTCATTTTGCAGGATCTAAACATTTCATCCTGTGTTGCAGGTTAATATTTTCCCCCATTGGCGTTGCCATGGGAATTCGTGCCACCAGTGGATACAAGCCAGAAGCTAATCTCATTCTGGAGAAAGCATTCCTGTCTGTCACCCGCAACCCTGACCACAAGAGACTAGAGGGATTGAGCAAGCAACTAGATTGGTCAGTACGCCGTGTTGAGCGCTGGTTCCGAAGGCGGAGAAACCAAGAACGACCTTCACCACTCAAGAAGTTTACTGAGAACTCGTGAGTTTGGTTATGCTGAGTGTAAATATTTCTCCAACCATAATATCATGTGAACAAACAGAAAACTTATTTTTTGCCTGTTCTCTGCATCCTCTGTCTCAGTTGTAATTTCATCAAATCCACTTCTTGCTGAGGACAATCTCTTTTATTTTGTTCTGCGTTCTTTTGAAGTTGGCGGTGTGCATTCTACTCCTTTGTCTTTCTCTATGGGATTCACTACCTCCCACAAGAGGATTGGTTCTGGACCTCCAAGGGCTGTTGGATCAATTTCCCCTATCATGTGAGTATGACTGACTTTAGCCGACATTCGTACCTTCACAGATGTGCATGTGTCTGTGTTTAACTGTCAATGGATGTCCGGACTAATAATGAAAATTGGTTTTATTCCACAGGCCCTCACACCCCCTCTCTTCAACTACTACTTGTTAGAGTGGTCATTCTACATATCCTTGCTCATGTCTGTCTTCACAGATGTCCGTAGAAAGGTTAGTACACTTTACAAGCCTGTAAGGGAGAGCTGTCAAGTTATACTTGATAATTGGATACAAAATGGCTCTACTCTGTTCCAGTACATATTTCAGTGGAAATTGTCAGGCGACATGTATGTTGTTCTTGTCAGTAGCTCAAGGGCCAATCTCATTTAGATGCCTAAACACAAAATTAGCTTAAGCGGGAAAAAAACTTTGCTTGACAAATCAGGTTACCGGCCAAAATCTATATGATGTACAGTAAAGTCCGACTATGTCGACATCGTGTAACCCGTCCTATCGTCCAAGTCAGCTGTTTCACAAAAGTCTGATCGTCTGTAATTCATTTCCATTCAAAATTTCATTTCTAAGTTGGCATTTATACGTCATCATTTTGTATACCGTATGTCTGCATGTTTTTCTCGGTTCCTTTTCCACAAAACCACACACACATTCCTTTGTGTAAGGGGGCGTTACAAAAATTGTGCTTTGGTATCGGTTTCCTTCGCCGTGGTTGCCAAGAAGTGTCAAGTGACAAGTCCTGTGCGCCCGTGGCCAGCATGAGTACATCAATACCAGTAACCCCTCTAGTGCTACATGCATGCTCTCTGTCCATTTTGGGGGTCGCCCTATTGAGCGTAGTCTGGTTCCCTGCCCAAAAATTCCCGAAGGACGTTTGATGCTTCATCGGGTAGTCAGAATCATCAGGTCTGGTATCCAGACTATATAAAACGAACTTAACCAATGCGCGTTTGTGTGAATGAGTGTATGTTTTCTGTACCGTAACTGTATCATGTACATGTACTATGAATGTACTGCACTATCGAGTCATGATGTGATATGCAACTTTGCAAGTGGCTTGCCATCTTTGCTTTGTCCTTAGGGGCATATGATCAATTATTGAATTTGTAGGATAATAATCGAGAACAAACCAGGGCAAATCAAAGCCATTGAATTAGTGCAAGGAATCATTATGTACGTAGGCAATACATGTGTACATGTAAGTGAGCAAAATGACGACTTACAACACAAACCGGCATTCGCGTAAGTCGTCATAATTTCTTGAGTCCTGAGAGTGCCGACTTGGCCAGAGTTTACTGTATATTGGTTTGGAGTGGTACTCACCTGTCTTTTGGTTAGCATGACATCCATGTAGATTTTGAGCTAGTAACCTTTGTTTTTTAAACAAGGTTTTTGTGCTTAAGCAAATTTTGTGCTTAAGCATAGTGTGGGATGTGTTTAATGATTGTCATTTGGAAGTCACACATTGAATCAGTGTAGATTGAATCAAATATCATTTGCTTTGATTTCAGGATTTCATTGCCAATGTGGTGCATCATATTGCCACTGTGATGTTGATATTCTTCTCTTACATCTGCAACTTCACGCGCATAGGGTCTCTTGTCATGGTCATCCATGATGTTTCAGATATCTTTCTGGAGGTAATGTTATAATTAAGTTTTAGATTAACCCTAACCCTCCTCAATCCTTCACCTGTTGGAGGACTGAGGAGTGTTAGGGTTAAGACTATTCTCATGAATGTACATTTATATTTTGGCATGTTCTCGTGTGCACAGAACACTGCTATTTCCAGTTTGTTTGACCTTTCACCAACTGAAGCTTTGCCGGAGAATTTTAATGCATAAAATAAGAATGGATATCTTCATCGGTTGAGAGACTGTATAAATAATTGTGCAGACATCAGTAGCATGTGACATGACTAGTTTTTGGATGCTTCATTACAGGGTGCCAAGATTACCAACTATGCGGGATTCGTCATTGTGGCACACATACTTTTTGTAATATTCACTGTGGTATTTTTTGTCACCCGCGTGCTGTTGTTTCCTTATTGGTGAGTTGTATGTTTTCCCTGTTTTGAGCATGTAATTTGATATTTGGTGTTTTGTTTTGGGCTGCATATGCTTTATGGAAGAGTTACATAGCAGGAAAGTACAGTGCATCATGTACAGACAGATTTATTGGCATTGGGTAAACCATCAGTGGCCATACAGGCAAACTAACACAAGTGTTCTCATTGTTGCAATAAAAATAAAGGCCAAAGTCTTTCAACAGCACAACTTACTTCATCAGAAAGAAGAGGCAGGATATTTCACTGGTTTTTTCAGTACATACATGTACATATATTATACATGATGTGTGTGCATGCACACGTATTTTTACCCGTACATTCATGCAGACTTTACCAACTTTGAAAAATGTTTCAGCCCTGGACAGAGAACCCACTGGCATCCCTGTAAAATAACGTTAAATGATGTATAACTACAGCAAATGCAAATGGAATACATGTATATACTGTACATCCTAGTTTATTTCCTTAAGTTGTACAGTACCATCATTAGTCTCCTCAGTATAGATTGAATTAATCAGCCTGGGGCTGACTGGTTTCCTTTTTTACCCCGAAACTTTGCTTCGTCACAATTCAACTCGCGTGGTATCAGAACATGTCTTTGCTGTATGCTTGTATAATTTACCCTGTTCCTTCTTTCTGCACCCTTCTTTCCCTTTTTTTCTTCACAGGATACTAGGCAGTATAATCATTGATAGTCATACATTGATTGGAGCATATCCCTCCAAGTATTTCTTCATGGCATTGCTGTGTGTACTGTACATACTTCATCTCTACTGGTTCAGTATTATCCTATCAATGGTGTACTGTGGCCTTAAGAATGGCAAGGTTGGTACTCTCTTTTCATAGACACCTTGTGCTATATACCGTCATCAGGAAAAACATTCTATTCATAAACAGTATAAAACTGCTTCCTCTCACACATTTTTACACATACTTCTTTCCAGTAAAACCTTTGACATTCTGGGTCATAATTCATCTTTTCTGCTCCCTGTTTAAAGCTGGAAAATGATTCCCGTAGTGACGTAGCTGAAGACACAAACACCGAGAGTTCTGGAGATGATAAGCTTGCCAGGAAAAATGGGGCAAAGACAAACTCTGCCCAAGGAAACTGTGTGGCCAATCACCATTAAGAAGAGCAAGCAGTTTGACATGTAAGGTACACGTATCTTGATTTCTCATAACTTGAGAAGATCATTTTGCCTAAAGCTTGTTATCATAACCTGGGTTTGTTTTGGTTTTTTTTTACTAGCTATGAAAAATCATGGCTCCATTCTTGTAATTGTTGTATACATGAAGTACAGTTGGTCAAAGCTCTGTGAATTGAGCAGTATTTGTTAAAGTGTTTACATATCGGTTGTTCTACTGTTAAGATAAATAAGATAATAAATGTATTGGACAAGATTTTAATTTTCTGTTTTTTAATTGGGCCACAAATTCTGTTTGATGTCGTGATATCAGACAGGAGGCAGGTCCACACGTGAAACTTCTGTTTTCACGAATATGAGAATAAGTCCTTTCCATTGTACTCGTTGTTAATCCCTAGGACATTGTTGTATTAAGCCATAGATGTATGCTATATTAATTGGAGATCATCATACCTATATGTGAAGGCTTATGGTTTATTGGGATTCTTCTGTGAGTCTTTGTTCTTTTAGGTTTGTTTTGTGCTGAAGTGTGTTTCAAGGGAGAGGTATTTAGAATTTATTTAACTTTGAACTCACCGTGCATGCATCAACCATATCAGTTCAGTGTATTCTGAAGCAGTACATACATGTAAATTGAACAAGGACAAACTGCAGTGATGTGTAATGAAAAGTGTGTGATTGTCCATTTTGGCCTCCAATGCTTATACAGTAGAGGTATTTATTTCACATGCTACGCTTTGCTGTTAAAAATTCCAGCTTAAATAGAAAGGTTTTCGGTAATTAGTTCAATTATGTCTTATGTTGGACTGAAGCCATACTGTTCCCGAGGTACTTCAGAAATGTCAAAAGGTACTCGTCAACAAAATTTGATTATATCAACACTGGTAACTATAATAAATCCGAGTTTCTGTGAATGAAATTGATTAGTGTATAAAAAAGTGTCTAAAAATGTAAGATGACTGTCTGGCATGTCATCTAAGTGATGACTGTCTGGCATGCCATCTAAGTGATGACTGTCTGGCATGCCATCTAAGTGATGACTGTCTGGCATGTCATCTGAGTGTTAAGCTCATTTTGCAACATCTATATTCACCCTTTGCAGTGATGCAGCTTTTATTTTTGTAATGTTTCCGTTTTTGTTACTTCAGAGGTTGGAATCAGTACTTCACGCTTTAACTGTTTCCATTTCTATTTTGTTGTCGACATTGTTTTGAAACTTCAAAAGGTTGAGAGGAAAACAATCATTTAAGGATCAAGTGTCAAATGTGATGCCGTGTTCAGCAATATTTGCATAAATACATATATTTCTTTTTTATAAATAATGCCACAAGGCTGCATTTAACCAGTAAATGTCATTCTCGATAACACTCCAATTGACTTCACCACAGTTTTTGCTTTAAAAGAAAATAACCTCAATGCTGCTAACTTGACCAGTGGCAGGTTCGGTGTTGTACTACATATGGGTACAGTAGCTACCCTTTGCACCTGTATTGTTGATGGTATGCACACAGTGCCCTGAATGTTGCCTAGGTTTGTTTCTATATCAATTTGTCTTTGTCCTCGGTCTGTAGATAGTCACATGTACATGTAGGTAGTAATGAGTAATTCTGCTTTTTGCTGGAGAAAAGGCCTACACAGATCATTGCACATTGTTGTGTCCAAGCATTACCGATCACAACTTTTTTAATACCGCCCTCTTGTGATGTTTTTAGTCACATAAAACTTTCTATAGCATCTTCACGTCAGTTTTCAAATCCTGCTCATGTAACAAAAGGTAAGATGGACCTAAGACAGAGATTTCAAGTGGGATCAAATTAACAGGTTAGGGTCTGTTAAAATGTACAATAATGTCATGAATTTCCAGTCACAGTTAATTGGCAAAACTTACCGAATGAAACCAAACTAGAAATGTATATGATAATGTAGCTCCGCCTTCACTTGCCTGATTTTATTCATGACCAATTTAGCGGCACGTGTGTGTGTGTGAGATATATTAAAACCTGGGTATTATTAGATGATGTGTTAGATAGCTGGGGTTAATTTGATCCAGAGTGTGTAAACATTTGATGTGTTGTTTCACTCTGTCTTTGTCGATACTACGTTCTATTTCCTTCGACTTTCTGGTAGTCATCTTCTGTACAGTAATCAATGTGATACAATGTAAGGAATTGTTGACTTCAAGTTCTATGTTCACTTAAATTGTGTAAAGGGTTGCAGATAATGTCATGTAACATAGTGGTAGAATATTTGAATGTATTTAGATTCTTTAATATTAACATATCGTATTGTAAAAGAAGAGATACAGTCGTGTGAAGTGTCTGCTGAACTGAAAACCTCCACAGAGCAGTTCAGAATGCTTGGCCTTGGTTTGCCAACAAATTACTGTTGACGTCATCCCCACCGGGGTGAACCGTCCAAAGCAGTTTAAACCACGGTCACATTTGAACCCCAGGATTTGGTCTCTGCTTTTACAAAACGAGAAAATGATGATTGTATCTTACAAAATCAAACAAAAATGTACACCCGTGTTGGATTTTGCATCTGAAATATCTGTTGTTCATGCCTTGGATTTTCAGGTCTTTTTACACAGCTGTTCTGTCAATGTTGCTGGGCTGTCTTGTTTGACAACAGCGCCCGCATGCGAGAGTTGATGTTTTCTTTTAACCAAAACGTCCGTGTATGAATGTATAGGAAACTCTAGACGCTTTAACAGCATTGGCAAATCCAGTTGCGGAATTTTGAATGTTAACTGCCGTCTTTGAGTAGTCCACTTATTTTGCCTACGCGGCAGTGGGCGTTTACGCGATGGTTATGAGTGACTGTAACCGACCACCGTAAGTTGTCATTTGGTGCACTCACAGGTACAAATGGAGGAATCTGCCTGTGGAAGTTCTGAATCCAAATTTCATTTCAATGTAACAGTGATTAATAAAACGCTGATTGTGAAATCTTTTGTTTGTAAGACGAGTCCTGCACTAAACACTGTAATGTTGATTCAGCGTTTCATTTGCAAGTGTACTCATGCTAGGGAGAATGCCACAGTTTCTAGAGTTTGCAGAGTCATTGAATGGGCTCTTGTCATAGACGTAGAAGCATTGAAATGACAGAGATATGAGAAACATCCGTTTAAGTTAATTGTATGCTTTGACCTCACATGGGTGTAAAGTTAACCCGTGTATTTAATACATGTATGATGTATCTAACTTATAACTTCGTTTTGTATGTTGTGACAATGTACGATCTTCGAGTTGCTGACGAGGAAGCATTAAATGTTATTGTAGAATTACGAATTAGGCTCTGCATTCTAAGTTTTCAACTTTTAACTCGTACGGGGTACATCTATGAAATCATGCGATTGTAATTTGCTCCTATGCACTATAGTGCACTGGAAATTGTCCGTCCCGAATCCCAATATGAAAGAGGAATTTCATGTAGTATATTTTATCTTTAAATGCAAATCCAAATAATGCATGGCGTTATTTTGAGAATTTTTTTAACATAAGCACGGACTAACTGTTTCGAGTTTCGAGTTTGTTTCTGACGAACTATTTCATTCGACATACCCTTTTTTGTTACAAAGTAATTATTTAGCTCATCTTTTTAATTTCAAAGGAAACGTCTTCAACAGAACCATTAAGCACCGTAAATTAACCAACCAAGGCCAATTTGTTTTGATGCATATCGTTTGGACTGAGCTCCGCAAGTAATGGAACACAAAGCCGTCGAGACATTATTTGACGCGTGCGAAGAAAGCATGAAAACACTCGTCTCTCGATCATAACTAGATTTTCAGTACGGAGACCCTATACGTCAGATGTAGGAAGGCGTTCCATATTTTGAATCAAAATGCACAATACGTGTTTTCTCCCCTTGAAATTCGTGAGGTTATGTGGTTATTCAGGTGCAGCCTTGCTTTTGTAGTAAGAGGATGCCTATTTCAGAACAACATAGTTTCGATCGTGGCCGGGAGCCGAGAAGACAATAGCAATCATACAAGGAAATTGGTTCGGTTAATTTTGAACGTGGATTCTGTTTCAAATTTTCAGCTTGGTTTCCTTCTGTGAAAAGCCATAACATTGTCAAAGTAGTTTGCAATTTAAGATTAGATACCTCAGTTTCGGTTTCAAAACAGAACTGTTCCTTGGGATTTTACAGTAAATGTATTTACTTTCCCAAACAAGGAGATGGAATAAGTTTGATGAGACATCCTCTTTGTCCGACCTTCGAAGAAAGAAAAATAATTTAGGGGCAAACCGAACCACCCAGATGTCATAACAACACGGGTGTATTAATCCGTTTGATGGATAAGTTTCCTTCCGTGTCCTTTACAAATAAGATCATTCACAGCAACGGCACACTTTCTGAGGCAGGTCATTGACACATGCAGGCACATAACGAATACGTGATAAAGTACATGTACGGTTACCTTTTTGTAGACTTATTGTTGATTTAAGATAATGGCCGTGAAAGATGAGAAACCACTTCGTCAACATGGCGAGACCGTCAGTGCGTTTCATTCTTTTGCTCCGTTGCATCTTCTCCTCGATCATGCCTTCTCTGATTCTGTGCTTTAGTTTGCTAACCATTGCTTTCATTATATTGGTTTGGAAACTTTGTGTAGGGCAAAATCAGTCACAAGTAAATACGCTGTGTTGGTTATTAACCTGTTAAGCCAAACATTTATACTGATGCTGTAGCAAAGTTTCGTTGTTATAAGGCTAGAGTCTTTCAAATTACCAAATGGAATTTTACAAAATAGAAACAATCAAATTTGATTTTGCAAAATGTAAATGTTATTCTGTCCGCCAAACTTGTGATATGTGCAGGGGCAGTGTCAAAAAAGATTAAAAAGATGTGTCAAATTAGGGAAAATGTAAAGTTGACCACTTACATCACAACCAAACAGTCAGAAAAACTCTATAGACTGTTTCTATTGCACATAGCCAGTTTCGTTGTTTACCAACTCGTCGAGACAGAGAAGTCGATTGAATTTTGTATTTTTATTCCATCCCCCGTCACTGTTTCCTTTCAGAAAAGTAATCTAGCAAGGATTTAGCTGCTTCAAGCAGGCTCTCGACATTGCCTTGTCCACTTTTGACATTGGCTGGCTGAGTTGCATTATTAAGGTCACGCTGATATGAAGTTCAAATTGTGACTTTTGTAAATATCAAGGTTCAGATATCAATCAGTGTGGCCACGGTGGCTTTTAAACGATAGTGAAATGCAAAGACTAAGGGGAATATTGTTGATTTAAATTAGTTGAATATTCATTTCATTCCATCGGAGTTCTGTTTGAAATAAACTTGCCCGTCCTATGTGGAAACAGTAATTGACCCTTGGCAAACAGCAAAGCTTTGAATGACCATGCCGGCTAACTTCCTTACATGCGCGTCTTCTTTAAATACTTTAGTGGAAACTTCTGGATCGTTTATCGGTACAATAAAAACAGTCGAAGGCGGATATCGACGAAATTTTAGTCTTAATGAACCATTACTGACATAATTCCATTATTAAAAAAGCGAGAAAAACTTGAAAAAAACAAACGGACGAAGGGACAGACACTTAATTTTGAAATATGTTCTTTTCGGTATTATGCATTGTGAATGGAAGATGACTTATTGTCTTGAATATTTGAGATTTACCTAAAGTAGGTTGTCATATTCCATTGTTGCCAAATATCCTTTGTCAGAAAAAAAGGAATTTAGCCTGAGGTTTTTCTTTGACGTCTTTATCCGTAGTTACCTCGTAACAATGACAGCCAAAATTATGCCCCACTAACTACTTTCTCGTGATTCATTCAACCGTTGACGCGCGTGTGGGTAGGACCGCACATACCGCACGGGGAAATTTATTGTTATGCAAATTATAGGACCAGTTATCGGGGGCCATTTCTCTCTCCCGCCCTTTCAGCACCGGACTCTCTTTTGGTTAAACTTACCGAGACCATAGGCAGTTTTCCAGGAAGTGTGGACATCCCAGGAAATTTTCCTCTCGGTTGCTTTTATTGATGAGTTGCGTGGTCATGTTTCACTAGACAACTTATGCAAGGAAAAATTTCTAACCGTAGTTACAACAACGGAACAATTAGTAAGGGTGTGTGCGTATGTCTGTCGGAGGACGAATAGCCAGTATACGGTTTAAATTTTGTTGTCTTTCAGACTTCTTTTTCTAAACATTGGTGTCAGTGGTGTTCTCAAAATACAATGCTTTCTTCGAATATAGTTCCCTAGGGCGAATTTGGTAGCCCAACGCAAAAGTGTCAAGTCAAAAAAAATGCCTTTTTCTGGGCCATACTCCTGTAGAGAGTCGTTGAACACTCCTATCTGAATGTATTCCGGTCATGACTTGATTGTATCACTATAGGCCTATATATCGGGGATTCCCTGTTTTATTTCAATCGCTTCCCGTAGTAGCATGAAAAGGTAAGAATTTGAAATTGATTTTTTAGGTCATACGCGCTATTATAGCTGTCGTCGATTTACTTCGCCAACAAGTTCTGACCGTTAAAAAGGAAATGGTGAATTTCGTATTGTGGCTGTCTATATTATTAATCGTCATACATTCCCGACAGGCATGTAGCATTTTATGTATATAAGACACTATTTCAACCAAAACCACTTTGAACGCTCCGACATTTTTCTCCAAAATTTCGGAACAATCTTCTAAGATTTCTTTGAGGGCACCTTCTGTAGGCCTACTCATGGCAAACTATTGGATGAAATCTATTCCCGTCGATGCTCGCAGAGCTGTTGTCAAAATTACCATTCCCAGTCGATGTGTCAATTAACGTGATAATGAAGAAAGTTAACATCGGAATTTGCAAATATTGTAAGAAATATTGGGCGTCAGTTTTCTCAGTATTATACATGTACATGCGTGCATTCTTTATTCACACTGATTTTTAATAGTCATTTCCATTATCATCCGTTTTCATCTACAATTCAATTCACACTTCACAAGAAACCATTTTATATTGCTAATTATCAAAGAAAGTGAAAAAGCCACTGTATTACTGACGACGGTCACTCGTTTATTTTTACAGTTCTATTATATCGAAGAACAAAATAAGATCAAAGGACTCAGTGAAATATCAGACAATTACGAGTGAGTCACACTTTTTAAATTAACGTTAATAATGCTGCACTTTGAACATATCTTTCCATAATTTACATGCTTCAAATATGGGTAAGATTTATCAAACATGTTACATTAATATTATGCTTACTTTTCTCTCATACATTTTTTATTCTTAGCTGAAACAGACGCAGAGAAGCAAGAGCTAACAGATTATCGAGAACTATCATTTGGTATAAAACCAGAACAAAGTAGTGATTAGTAAGGGGTTGATTACTTTCACGGTTATTTCTTCGGTTTCAAACAAGTCTTGTTTATTATACAACTTTTCCAACCCCAGTCTAATACTGAAGGAAGTCTTTTTGCCACATAAAATAGGCGTATCATTTCACAACCTCACCTCCGCTTACGGCCCCTCTTCCTGTGGCATATTCCACCGACTAGCCTTTCCTCCAGTCGTCCTGGTCCTTACCCAGTCCCTCCAGCTGTCCCCAAGGTACGGTCCATATCTTTTTTGTCTACCTCCGAATTGCAGCTCTGTGTTTGTTGGGTGTCTTCTTCATTTCTCCCAGCCAGTTCCAGGTATTATGGGCGTCGCAAGGATATTTTTTTTTAATTTGGGAAGATTCCCAGGGAAAAGCACTCATCAGCTAAGAACTGATAATTGATGGTCGGATCCGGAGGGGGTCAAGTTTTACTCTATTTTATTATTTAGTTTATTATTATTATTATAATTGTTATTACTGTTATTGTTATTTTTGAAGAAATTTTATCGGCTTTCATCCCTTTTCTTCTTTCGTTTCCCGTTTCTTGTTATGAAGCACTTTTTTGCGGAGGTATCCCTCTTGCCCCTTCCCTCCCCCTCGCGACAACCATGTCCAGACAACGGTTTGTCTTGTCGTACTGGATGCAGGTCTACGGAGGGTGTGACCGACCCATCTCAAGCACTCATGAAGTACAAATAATCAAGTATAATTAGATTCTAAGAGATCAAAATTTCTGCTGTCATCACGTAAGAGCAGGGTCATCAAATTTATCAAAGCGTCCAGCACTGATGCTGTTACACTTTACAACAAGAAGTCATCAAAGCTTTAAGCGTGTCCGATGGCTCTTCGATCTGAGAGTATTGGCATCTCATCATACGGCGTATCACCTTCTTGAACTGTGGATGTTTAGCGGCGTATATGATCGGGTTGACACAGCTGTTGAAGGTAAAGACTACGCCCAAAAACAGAAGGTATCGGTCGGTGTTGGGGATGAAAAGCGCCACGCAGTAAGGAGTGATGCAGAGGAAGAAGGCACAGACTGCCATGAAGAGATTCTTGGTGATCTGAAGCTGTTGGCGGTAGATACGATCCCGTTGGGCTGTCTTTAGAACAGCGGCGCTGTCAGACACCGCAAAGTTGGAGCTACCCGAGCTACAACCCTGGCCTGAATCCGGGCCAGGATCACCGATGGCAACTTGCATGGATGGTCTCTGGGCCTGAAAGTGGCGCCGGACGTGCAAGAATATCGTGGTGTAGCAAATACAAATAATGCAAAATGGGACAGGATAGGACAGGAAGGTTTGGATTCGCTGGAAGGTCTTGGCCTTAGGATGGGTATCCAGGTCACTGCAGGTATGGTGCTGCTTGTCGTAGCCGAATCCTCCGATTCCCAAGAGTGGTGGAACAATCATCGTTGCCAAGGCAACGAACCACAGGACGATCACGTTAACAACTAAGTTGCGCCTGGTGTAAAGACTACGATAGAGAGTCATTGGGCGTTTGATAAGGATCAGTCTGTTCAAGGCGATGGAGGCCAGATTGAAAAGACTAGCAGACGAACTGACGAAAAGTAGCAGGGCAGCCAGGTAGCAAGGAGCCTCTGTGGACCATGGCCAACTGTTTCCCGGACTGAGCAGCCCAACAGCGCTCATGGGAAGTGCAAGGCCTGTCAGAAGATCAGCCACGCTGAGACTGACCACGAAGACGTTGGTGGATGTCCGCAGCTTCTTACTAAACACCACGGCCAGGATGACCATGGTGTTGCCGGTGATATTGACCAGAGCAACCAAGAGCCAGAGTATGGCAACAACAACTCTCTCAGGGTAGGTTTGCAAAGACTGAATGACAGCCATCGTCGTTATGTCCTGCATCCAGGAAGGAGTCGTTGAGCTGTAGTCTGTGGCAGAAGAATTGACAGAGGAGACTGTTGAGGTATCGTTAAAGAGGACCATCGTTGCATTGCTATGATCCATGTTGGTCTGAAGTTCCGTGTTCTGTATTGTGGGAATAAAGATGAACATTAATTAAGATTGGAAATGGGGAGGCAGCCCATACTTTTAGCCTTTCTTGTCTTTAATTAAACAAGGGTTTATCCACGTAAAGGTTTAATTTAACTCGTGGTAGTGGGATAAATTTCGCTAATGAAAATGTTACTCTTCTGATGGATCTTTCACTGTTCGAATGTGCAGTACTCGACCTTGTACTTCAGGATCGAGTCTTCGTACTTTGAGCAGGTCGCACGCTCTCGTAATAAGGAATATGATCCCATGCGTGCAGCAAACAGGTTGATTTGCTCAGTTTATAGTCTTAATCCTGTTCTTGTCAATGAATGGGTCAAGTCATCGACCTGAGCATTCCGTTTCGCTTTTGCCGTTTATGTAGCAATGTCTACTTAGCTAATGTACTCGCCATTTTTGAAGACTACCAAGCAACACATTTTGACCATAGGTATTTCATTGGTCGTGAACACGTCCAAAAGACTTTTCAGCCTGTGCAGTGTTTAGTGAAAAATCTTGTTAGGGCCAAGCTGGCTATTTATCCCGCAAGTTCTCTAATTTTAATAATTTGGGGGTCAAATAAGTCTACTTAGATGTATCCGACTGGAGGCATTTGTATGCATGATGTCAGCCGACTTGATAAACAAATCGCAATAAATTTGGCTCCTGGAGTGCTTTGTAAACGTAATAAATAAACTCCACACCTTGAATATTTGAGAGTCTGATGATGTGATGAGGTATTGGATTCCACATGCAAGCAAAAGTCCTCATCACAACCTATTGTTCATACATTGGACCATGTAATCGGAGGATAGTAATGTGTTTAGCCTACGTTGAATATTACTCAGGGTCTGCCAGACTAATCCAAAACTGACAGGACAAAACCAAATGATGCTGTTTAAAAAGAGCCTAAACCATAAGCAAAATAAACAAAAACCAAAAACCCACTTAAAAAAGACAGACCATACACATAAGACCAATGCCCAAAACAAAACGATAATTCAAGAAACTTAAATGTATGATTACTGGAAATCTTTACTCACCTAATTCAAGATCAGGCTCAACAACTGATAATCCCAAATCGTGAAAGAATGTCAAAATGTGAGCAGTAGGCCTAATGCTTCTTGCATCTCCAAACTGCGTGTTGCTTCCCGAAAGTATAGTGACTGCGGTACAGAATGGCTTTTGAAAGCAGGCAAAAGGTACTAGGCGCCTTTTTATGGAGGACGATGCCAGTGACTGTGTACCAACATCAGCTGCAGCCAAAATTAAGTTGTTTTCCAAGCCTCATTCCTTTTTCCGCAATTGCGCGAGTGGGCGGTATTGGGCTGTCAAAAGCGCCCATTGTCTTTTCCTTCTCACAGAGTTATGCAAAATTCAACCGATACCGTTCCTGTAGAAGGTTAATTTTCAACCCCATGTACAGGATTTTAAGTTTTACCCTGATCGCCTATCTCGTCAGAGTATGACATCGATACTCGATAGGAAGTCAGGGCGATGACTGCCAGTGGAACACAGGGGGACCGAGACAGAAAGCGAATCACAGATGCACACATGGAGGTCTCCAACTACTATGTCGCTTTTCCAGTAACTACCGTTACCGCCAGTATATGAGGGCATACTTGTACGGAAATTGATTTCCGGATGTGTATGTAAAGTTCTAATATGTACTTCTTCCGATCAAGCTGAAAAATTACATATTTCTACGCATAGTATACGTTCTTGCAACGTTTCAATAAATTTTGTAGTATCTGGGACGGGAGCAGCGATATCCGCCCTAGGGGGATGGTGACAATTTTAAACCCAAGAAAACAATATAGGCTATGAGATAACACCCGGAAAAGAACTCAGTGCACAAACAATGGAAGCCTTTTTTTCTGTCTGTTCATTCCACTCTTGTGTTGCAATCGGCCGGGCAATTTCCGTTTCCTTGGTAAAGAGTGGCCAGAAAAAGTTTAGAGTTTCCTCGTCAAAAATTCTTCAAGTTGTCATGTATTCAAAACAACTGTAGTTGTTTTATTTCAAGGTTGTTTTGCATTCAGAATACTCAAAATCATTAGATCTGTTTGCCCCTTCGTGGATTTTACAATTTGGAGAGGAGTTTCTGCAGGATTTAAATTGTTTCGATCCATCAATCCGATCCGTCATGGATGGAGCTAACTTTTATAATGTAAGCTTGAAATCTTAACTTCGGAAATCGTGACTCATCGTGAGTAGAGTATCGCTGCTTTATATTCTTCAGGATAGCCTGCCATACAAGGCGCAATGCATTGTCTGAACAGACAGACGAAGGCTGACAATGATATCCTTTTATGAGAGCGCTCTTTGGCGAAAGGCAATGATATAATGGGCCGTTACGGCCATGAAGAATGACGTCTGTCCACCACGAGTTGAGGTCCACTTCCACCAGAGACGGATGCTTCAAGTTTCCGACGGGGCTCTAACAGAAATTTCTCGCATGTGCTCCCAAGCGCATGCAATAAATTACCACAAAAGACCTTCAATGCTATGTAAAAGCACGCCCTCTCTTGTTCCAGCGGATTGTCCGATACAATAACTGTCCGTGCCGCCGAGTCTCACTCACTCGGCATACCTTTCGATTAGAAAACATAGGTCGATTATTGGCAGAAAAAAAGGTAAACTTTCAGCTGGAATGCTCGATGCCCCTTTTCACATGTAACTCCCCTCCCGTCAGAATGACGTTGGATACACCAATGGGTAAACAGCGAAAGGAATCGCACAAAATAACACGAATATATTGAGTTTTGCTTTTTTTTAAATTAATTAACGATAAAGTAATCACGGTGAGAAATACTTAACGTCTGGTTGTAATGGTGGTTACACAATAAGGATTTGTAACTCTGATTGTCCTCTATTAGTTTATCGAGACTGAAAAAATATAAAAGCTGTGTAATTGATGATTGTAAATTATGGTTATATGGTTAAGGGTAGCATACACACTGCATGTGTGAGGTTATAATGCTGCTTTTATCAAAAAGATTGGTGCATATGGAAATGGACTAATAGAATGGATTTGGCTTGAGGCGATCAGACAAAATTTGATGATTATATGCGAAATTACAACCTCAACGACATAGAAGTTAAAGTAAGAAACCATGATGTAAATTAATTATTAAAGCAAATTTAGTGACTGTTTCTGTGTCTTCCTTTAAAGTGGTGTAAAGAAACAAACTGTGAAACAAGTGTAAATAAACATAAATACATGAATATAAGGAAACTCATCGTCCTTTGAAAACCCTTCCAAAATCAATAAATATCAAATTGCACAAACAAATTGTCAAAGTAAATGAAATTCCAACGGTCTCAATACACGCCAGCAAAGTTCGTTGAGTGGGAGGATTTTCCTGGGTTTGCATAAGACACTAATTAAAGACTATAAAATCCACAGGAAAATACAAAGATAAACAACGTTATTATGGCATAGTGCAACGATTTCGTTTGAAACTTGCCGAAATATATATCAGTGTTTCGCTTGCATGAGGTCTTAGTGAAAAAAAATTATCCGTATTATTTCAGGGCCTGGATCATGCTGATCCAGTTTAGTTTAAAACGTGTGTGTGCTGCCTTGAGTTAACCTAAGCTATTGTTGAGCAGAATCCTCTATGGAGGCAAGTTAGAAGGAATAGAATGAATCATGCAAAGTGAGAATTCACAAATCAGCCCAAGATATTAGCCCAAGATACATTTCACAAGAATTTATTTAAAAATGTACGGATTAGATATGTAATGCTGAGGGCAACGTTCGTTAATCATCATGTCCTTATTGCAAAATCAGCGATCATATTTCTGTGCCATAAAAAAGTTACGGCAAGTCAATTATCATTTTGCTTTAAGTTTGCCAGTATATGTCTTTGTTAGTGTTCTTCGGTTAAGTATAATTACATAAAAACAGTATTTAAATCAATTATTATAAATGCAAAATTGCTTTTTCCAATGATAATGATAATAATGTCCAAATATATATCTCGATGAAATTTAAGATACAATTAATTAAATGATTTTTCAATAGTCTTCAAGCAACTTTCCATTTAGGGGAATGCATGGAATAAATGCTAGACGGGGTGTTTGTATAAGTCTATAGGCCTACGTTTGCTAAACATTCTTTATCTATTCTGTAAATGTGTGCTAATTTTACTGGTGCTCAGAACTAATGTTGTTTCATCCACTGATCATCTAACCCGATGAACTATTTTTTCTTGTTTCCACAAGCTATCAGAACTTTCAGTGTGTCTGACTGTTCTTCGATCTGAGAGTATTGGCATTTCATCATGCTGCGCATCACTGTCTTAAATTGCGGATGATGAGCCCCGTATATGATCGGGTTGACCCAGCTATTGCAAAGAAGAAGAGCTCCACTGAAGAGACGGAAACGATCACTGGTGGTAGCTATCATGGTAGCACAGTATGGAGACGCACAGAGGAGGAAGGCACAAAATGCCATGAAGAGATTTTTGGTGATTTGAAGTTGCTGGCGGTTGATCCGCTGTCGATGTGCGTCTCTTGCGCGAACTGTAGTTGAATCTAGCGTCTGACTCTTGGCTTTCCAGCTAGATGATGAAGTGACTTCCAATTCTGTTGTGTTTTCCTGACTTCTTACCTTTTGGGTTTTGAAATGGCGTCGCACGTGAATAAAGATGACGACATAACAAGTACAGATGATCAGTAGGGGTAAGATGTAAAAAGTAATGGTTTTAATCAGGTCATAGGTCACGCTACCTGGAAGATCCTGGAGGTCACTGCAGGTGCGATGCTCCCGGTCTAAGCCAAATCCTCCAACGCCAACTAAAGGTGGAACGAGGACACCGAAGATGGCAACTGCCCAAACAGTTGTCACCATGAGGGCAATATTGCTTTTAGAGTACAACGAAAGATACGTTGAAAAGGGACGTTTAATGAGAATGGCTCTGTTCAGGGCGATGCAAGCAATATTGAGGAGGCTGGAACCGGAACTGATAAAAAGTAAGACGCCAGCAATGAAGCATGGGGTTTCGGTGGAGAACGGCCAGGTATCACCAGGGCTGAGTAGAGCCACCACACTCATGGGTAACGACAAACCAGCCATGAAGTCAGCTATACTGAGACTCACGACAAAAACATTAGTGGAAGTCCGCAGTTTCTTACTGAACACGACAGCAAGGATGACAACAGTGTTCCCAGCAATATCAAATATAGATATCAGAATGAAAACGACAGCCACCACAACACGTTCGAGATAGGTGTACAAGGAAATGAGTCCTTGTTCAGTGCTGTTTAGTCCGTTACTGGTTGAATTCAGGGATGATTCCATTCCGCTGCTGTTAAATTAATCCGTAGTCCTTTACAAACTCATACAGGTCGTAACTGCTTGATTGCTGGCATCTCGGTGTTCTGAAAAAAAATTAAAATTTGAATGTACTTTGTTCACTTCGGAAGTGTGTTAGAGCAATGACATGCTGAACAAAGATGAAAAGTAGTTCGAAGGAAGGAAAGATGAAAAGAAGGAAAAGAAACATACTCAATTTTTTCCACTCCCTCTTCGTGGTCCACATGTTTAAGTGGTGTTTAAACATTAATTGTGTGAAGCAATACATATGCAATGTCTCGATGGAGAACCAATGGCACAACGCTATGCAAATGAGAGGATCCACCATTAACTAATAGGGGATTTATTTCCATTGAGTCTGGGCAACTATCAGTAGACTCATCTAGGCCAATTGTGTATTGAAATGAAATAATACTATTGTGAAATATTTTATTCGTTCAGGGTTATTATGAAAATTGTAAAGTCACACAACACAGAATGCGAAGCTTCGAAGTAATGACAATGTTTAGTCATACCGTCTGCAGTTGGTTGGAGCATAACGGATCTCACTGGAAAATCACCGACTTTCCAAATATTGCCACAATTTGTGCTTGCCATTGATGTTGGTGACAACTTGAAACTCAAGAAAACAGCATGAACTGAAAGATAACATCCGGGAAATTGTCAGCTGTACAAACAACGAAAGATAAAGTTTTTTGGTCGTCTTCAGTTAAGCTCTCGGTTTTGCAATCAAAATAATGTTGGGATATTTCCATTCCCTTTGCAATAAGAATTGCCAGAAACAATATACAATTTCCTTTTCAAACATTTTAGTTGTTCTTGTCGAGTTTTGAGTCGTTTCTGTCCATAAGGTGGTGTTCAGAATATTCAAAATCAGCAGATATGTCTGCCCCTTCATGGATTCAATATGGAAACTGGTTTGCGCGATTTTAATTGTTTTGATTGCAAAATTGCATCACTTAAAATCGCCACTTAATAGCTTATCAGCTGTCAGATCATGTTGGGACTGATTGATGACCGCTCCCTTCAGTCCCTTTGATCATATTCGGGGGATTAGGTGCAAGAGGGTGTTAGCTTAGGCCTATTGGGATTTCCAGGTTTATTGTCTTCCTCAGACCGTATCTTGGACTCAGTCTCGTGCATTCTGTATGTATAGGCTCCACCCCCCCGTCTTTTTACATTAATTCGGTTTTGCCTTCTTCCATCATAATTATTGATTTGCGTCGTCGTAAGGATGGGGTCAATGAATACGAAGTGGTGTCGTAATTCCAGTTATTCGTACGTCTTTTACACCTCCCCAAAGTGAACTAGAAGATAAATTTGTCGTTTATATGATGAACCCTTTATTAATGCTGATAACTCTTCAGTAAAACTGAACATAAATTTACACATACAATTTGCATATTTATTCATTTAAAAGAATTTCACGTACAAGGAAATATTAACACTTTGTGAAAAGCCTTCTAAAATAAGTGCATATTTGGAGTTCCAACGGTCATGACAGCATCCGTGTTATTTCAGGCCCGACTGTGGATCATGTTTAAATCCGGTTTCGCTTAATAGTAATGTTGATGTTTAGTAAGCTTAAGGTATTGTGTGGCACGTCCTATCCTCTTCAAAGGCATACAATAGTTTTTTCTCCACTACCCTATTTGAATGAAATGGATAACACACAGTGCCAAGTCAAACATTAGCCTTAGACATATTAATCAGCAAGAAGCTATCTGAAAATGCTTTGTCTCTACAACTTTCCATAATATATTCTTACAGCAAATATTGTGTCCATATCCATAGAATGTACAAAATTTAAAATGAATCATCCATATAGTGTCTTTTTTCAGTTTGTGTTTCACAGAAAAGGCACGGACTTGGGTCATTTCACTATAAGTTCACACAAAAGAAAAAAAGGGAACGACATTTCCTGCTTTGTTTTTTTTCTTCTGAGCTGTCGTAAAGTATCAGAGAAAATATCAATTTCTATCATTACATAATTTGTATAATGTTTACGTTTTCCAGTGATGAGGATTATACTGGTACAGAACGACTATTACCGCCCCGAGCTGAAATGCACCCCCAATCGGCGAAAAGAAAGACAAGTGGTCAAAAGCGGGTTCTTGCACGCGTTCTGCGTGTACGCAAAGACCATACATGCCGGAGTAAATTAGTTACGCGTACTCATCGTGCTCCGTGTCAAACGCGCATATACTTGCGCGCCTTATGGCGCGCCTACGCGGTGAGTACCAAAAAATCGCCATCTTTTGTTCCGCTCGGAGCAGATACATTGGAATGAAAGATGGGGCCTACATATGTTTCACACAATTCTTCAACAGTTTGCCCGGGGGCTCCATAAGGGGAATGCATGCATTAAATTTTAGATCAGGGTTTTTATATGAGTCTGAGTGGTCGTTACACATTCTTTACCCTTTCACATGACACAAATCGTATCGAGAATATAAAGGGGCTGCTACATTGTCAGATCTTGTGTGTATCATTGGGAATGCTACTTGACTGGTGCCAAAACCAACAGTGATTAATCCATTAATGCTGTGGCTACACCCGATGAACTATTTCTTCTTGTTTCCACAAACATGAGAACTCTCAGTGTGCCTGACTGTTCTTCGATCTGAGAGTGCTAGCATTTCATCATGCAGCGCATCACTTTCTTAAACTGTGGATGTTTATCCGCGTAGATGATGGGATGAGCGCAGCTATTGCCAAGAAAAATGATTGCGCCAAAGAGCAAGAAACGGTACGTGGTGGTGAACAGATTTGCTATAAAGAAAGGGGTCACCCAACAGAAAAAAACGCACACTGTCAAGAAGAGATTCTTAGTGATTTGAAGCTGCTGTCGACTAATTCTTTGCTGGCGCGTAACATCATGAACATCTTTAGGTAACTCTAAGATTGTCCACCTGATGAATGGTCCGCCATTGGTTCCTGAACCAAGGCCTTTTGAGTTTTAAAATGGCGCTGCACGTGAACGAATTTGAAGATGATTATAGCATGAAAAGACAACACTCGAGGGTACGATGTAGAGGGTAAGTCTGAATTTGATCGAAGTTCATGCCTCTAGGATGATTCTGCAGGTCGGTACAGCTGCGGAATTGCTTGTCTAGGGCAACTCCTCCCACGTCAATAGAGGCGGTAAAAGCATCGCTAAGATAGCAATAGCCCAAATAGTCGCTGTCATGAGGACCAGGTTACATTTGGTATACAGCCAGCGATATGTGGTCAAGGGACGCTTGATGAGGACAGCTCTGTTCAAGGTAATGCTGGCAAGATGAAGCAAGCTGGCTCCCGCGCTAATGTAGAGCAGCAAACGGCCCGGGAAACAAGGCACTTTGGTGGAGAACGGGCAGGTATCACCAGGGCTGAGTAAAGCCACTACGCTCATGGGTAACCCTAGGTCAGTGACGAGATCAGCCACACTGAGACTGACATCCAACACATTAGTGTATGTCCACAGCTTCTTACTGAACACTGCAATGACAGGATGATTGCCAGAGATATTTAGGGCAGAAATAAGTACGAAGAAGACAGCCACTATACGACTCGTTCAGCGTACGTGTACAGTGACAAAACTACTCCGTGGTACTAACCATGCAGCATTACGGCCGTAGTGTCCTCATCTTCCTATGCAGAAGATAGGGTCGATGAGTCAAAATCCATGAGTGGTGAAGAGTTTCAAGTTGTGATGCGAAAATACTTCTGTCCTGGATTTCAAAGTTTGTCCCTGATAATATGTCAAGTTTTCAACCCAATTTACTCTGTAAAACGAAAGAAGTGTTGAAATGAGCTGCAGGGGATCATACCGAATAAAGCACATATAAATGATTATCATCAAATCGCGATTATCAAATGATTATCAAATAACTGTCTTAAAGATATTTGAGCCAAACTGCAATGCTACATTTCTTGGTTCGAAATCTTTGAAGTTTTTCTAAATTGTGGCTTTACGTCGATGCAAAGTCACCCAGATCCTGTTTATAAATCAATGTTTAACATACCAAATTCTTGAGGAGAGTTAGTTTTTTCAGCCAAACCCTGTCGTCAACAGCGCTGGTCTTCAGGTTTTAACATGTCGCTTTTTGATGACCGCTGTGAACCTTACACGTACCAACTGAGCCCTTGTTTAGCGTGGTTTTGTCGGAACTAAAAATATACACTTCTGTAATGGTGTGGTTCAGTAGTTTCGAATGGAATTCCAAGTATATTGACGCTTATTTCCGATCAGAGCGTCAATATTCCTGTCTGGCAGGTTCTCGTAAAAATAGGAATGTTTGAATGTAATTTCCTTGATTGTATAGAGGTTATGCGTTGCTTGTGTCTCAAGGGCTGTTGTTATATTTGTGTCCTTAATGCACAAAAAGTTTAGTTGAGCGTATCCCCTAAGGTTAAGAACTGCCCTGTAACGTGACCTGAGATTACTAGACTTTTCTAAGCTGTATCATAAAAAGTTCTAAAATACGAAAAAAGCGTAAAAGGAACAGAAAATCCTATCGGGCATTCTGCCGCAGATGAACACATCAGTATGTACCTGGAAGAATAATTTTTTGCGTTTGTTGCAGTGACATTGGCCGTGTTGTTAAGCTACATTGCTACAAAATTATATGGGTGTCTTGACAACGGCAAAATATTATATAGTGCTGATTTTAACTGGTTATATTTAACAATACTGTACTATAAAATGATTATTATTATTATACAAATTTACTCTGCATAAATCTTCTTGGGTTATTAAGAGAACAAACGGTCTGCACGTATACCTATGGGCCTAAGTCTGCCATGCAGTGGCGTAGCTAGGATTAATGGTGGGGGCACAAATGGGCACTAGCATCTTATTGGGGGGGGAGCTTTCAGAGGTAGGTTTTTGGGGGTAAGATTTTTTTTATCTTTGTTCAACATCCATTCCTCCTTTTTTCAGTGGGGGGCACCTGGGGGAAGCGCCGGAAATTTTGGGGGGAGTGCCCCAGCCCTCCCCCCCCCCCGGGGGGCTACACCACAACTGCCATTATGTGAACTTAACAACTAGATTCGTGTCCGAAGTGCAACCCATAACCGTGCAATGCTTGCCTGGTTCCCATCCTAATATTATTTTTCCTCTTTCTTACTGCAAATGAACTAGATGTAAATCAAATGTTGGCGGGAACCAGCTAAGTGAAGTTGCACGAATAATTCAGTCGATTCTTTTGTGTCGTCTCTCGACGAGCTTTCAGCTCAGTTGCATATTGGTATCGATTCTCACCTTCCAAGATGGCGCCGCTCGTTGGTAAACAAAATCTGTTTCTACGTGACTAACGAAGTAACGGTATCGCGTAGGCCTACTGAAACCGTCAAAATAATTATGCTTGACAAGGATCACGTTGAGAATGTTGCAGCTTCCCTCGTTAGGGAGTACCTAAGTAGAAAGGTAAACGTAGGAGGGCCACTTTCGGCCGTGGAATTAACAAACTGTATATATAAACCTAGTCATGACGAAGTTCACGAACCCGTTTCGCCACCGGTCCAATTTCCGGACAATGACAATTACGATGCATTAAGCCTACCTGAGTAAAACTGACTTCCGAGTACATAGGACAGCTTCTCGATAATGAATCACATAGACAGTTTTTCCATGTTTATTGGACTGGCTTAGCCCTAGCCCCACTAGTGTGGCACGGACTCTCACTCCCGATCAGGAGTGAGAGTCCATGCCACACCACTGGCACTAGTGCCGTTGTGGGGCTAGCTTAGCCCCCAAAACTGTGGACATGGTCAGATGATCATGATTGCCAGATAATGGACAGGCTCGTTATGTTGATGATAAGGGACCAGAGCAAAGCAGCTAGGCCTACATGTGTATATTTGGCTATAGTAACTGTAATGCGACTTCAAAATTCCATAGTTACGGCATTGTACAATTATTATTGCCAGTCTAATGGTTTAGGCTATAATGTTTCAATTTGTTGTACTCAGTAGCACAATACGCACACTGTTCAGTAAGCTCCATGTGCTTGGTTAGAGAACCTGCTCCATATAGGCTACTAGCATTTCTTATTGTTTGTTTTTCAGTGTTTCCCTTTTCTTTATATTCTCAATCAGGTTGTATGTTTACTTTCCATAGGCCTTAGCCTACATGTTTTTCGTTTCTTTTTGGCAGATTCGTACCCCTGGAGGATATTTTGAAAGAGAAAGAACCGGAATGCCCGAGCCTTTTGTGACATTTTTATCTAAACTGTCTCAACCACATTAGTGTTACCATTGTCTAAAACACCAATTCACTCTTGGTCATTGAACTTTTGCACTAGGCCTAATAGATGAGTAATGAAATGATTGTCTTTATACCGTGTGTATACCTTGTAGGGACTAAAATTGAGCCTGCAGTCAATGGACCAAGAGCTACCAAGAACAGACAGTAGTATTAGCAACAGGGTCCAATTAGCCAGAGAAGTCCACATTGAAAAACTACTCAAGAAAAATAAAGTAAGTCTTGTAGAAGCACTGTTAGTCTTAAAGTTAAGCCGCAAGAATTTTCGAAGACACAATTTTTCTGCAATTTCGTGCTGTTTCACAGTGTACATTATGAAACTGTTGGACATCCCTTTGAGGTGAAATAGATTGAACAAAGCATGTTTCAAGCAATAATTACCCCTGCTCTCCTGAAAAACTGAGGACCTTGTTGCTGTGATGTCATCCACTGAACACATGGCTTATTACATACTGTGGGTTTTTCTGTTCAAACTGTGAAACTGAAAACATTTCTGAGAAAGGATTGCTTTCAATCTTTAAAACTGTAGGAGTTTTTGCTCATGAAACAATGTGCATGAATATGGAAATACTCAGTCATTAGCGTAAAACCAAACCATTGCTATGTATACATGTATCCTATCCCCGATTTTGTAAGGTTTGTTCAACCTGCCTTATCATTTTTTGTGGCAAATCAATTGAACATTAACAATCAGATAAGAAAATGAATTATCTATACAGGAGCAAGCAGAACCATTGAGGTCAATGATAGAAATTATCACCAAGTACTTCCTTGAAAAGGCGTTATGTTCGTCTGGCAAGACTGAGGTAGTCCCCATCCATGGACTGCAGAATTCTTCCCCAAGTTCATTCTCAATGAAGTCAAGGGATACCACTTCCCATACTGGAAAAGATTCTGACAGTACAACTGAAAGAGTTCATCAAAGAGTTAACAACAACAGTAGCAACACTGGTCACAAAAACAAAAGGAAAAAGAAGAATTCTACTATTGAGTCATCAAGTAAGTCATCTGCCCTTGAAACTACTGACTTGGGTAAGTTCACTGTGGATTAAACTCATCCGAAGCCTTGAATTGTAAAATTACAAGTACAACCGCTAATTAGGTACAACTACGCAAAATATTGACCCAAAGAAGCAATGGTCATTGTTGTAACTTATCTCTAAATTTTCAAAAATGACACAATTGATGCAACTGAATACATGTCTGCAGATTATGGAGCTGGCTTACCACAGGAGGATTTAGGTGGCACTTATGGACTCAATCGAGGATCTACTCCTGTCATTACAATGAAAGAACGACCCACTGTGAAGGAACCTGAGAAGTACCTTGAATCAAATGAAGAAAGGCTGAGTGCGAAACATCAGAGAAATGGTGGCAACGAAAGGATTGATACTAGGAATGATACCTTGCCAAAAAGGAATGTCTTGCAGCCAGGTAGTAGCACCCGTTCTCGTGGATTAGGAGGTCCTATTACAAGCAGTCTAGATGTGAGTGTTCATTCATGTGTGCGTAATCTAATAATAAATATATGCCTTAATTGACAAATTATTCAACTTACAAGGTCCATTTTGTGATATGCAGCTCAATTTTTAAAAGAAAACATGTAAGGTCAAATTTATTCAAGACCTGATGATGTTGATATTGATTTGAAGACATATTAATGTGAGGTAAAAATCAGTCCTCATTTTTGGTGACACAGAGTCTGAGCAGAAAGAAACCAACCAACAAGTGTACACCAACCAGAACGAGCCTCACAGCCTCCTCCTTTGACCCTGGTCTTGAAGAAAAACCCAAGTCTGAAAAATCTTCAACAAATCGAGATAGGCTCAAGGATCTAGGATTCAAATTTGACTCTCCACCAAAGAGTAACACAGAGGACTCGGCTAAGACAATAACCTCAGAAACACCACAAAGAAGACCAGAGTCTCGAACCAGGAGGTCAGTGACAGATGTGGATGCCGTGATTGGGGAAGACTTCAGAGATAGGGCTGATTCTTCGCCAGAGCAGAATCAGGTAGACTTAAGAAAAAGCAGAGGAACCTCAGCAAAGAGGAAACAAAATGAAAAGGGGTATGTGTTGCCACTGGAATCTTAATTGAATTCTGTCCTTATATTACTTCTTTTGCATGCATTCAGATTGACTACAAATGTAAAAGTGTTGAAGTTGTATGTATCCAAGAGGTACAGCAAGTTAACATTAAACCTAATGTTCATAATCATATTTAAGGTTTCACAGCACTGTTTCCTGTTTGGAAGATTTGTTTTCCTGATGTGTTTTTGCTTTCTTTTATTTTGCTCTAAAGCAAGTCATTAGTAGTGCTGACTGAAAATTATGACTTTTGACAACTGGTTATTGTTCTAACAAGGTTCCTTGCTGTTGCTTTTGTTACGACTGTGTGCTGACATGCATGACCATTCAGGAGCACAATGTCAGAAGCAATACTTTTTCATTTGTTTTAATTTTGTACATGTATCTATTCGTCAGGAAAGTGACATATGCTAAGCAGACTCTTGGTGATGTTGAGCTTGGTGACATTGATGACTTGGATGATGATCTTAGCAATTTACAACTGAAGCCAACCACAAGGAAGGTGTTGAATGCAGTTGATGGAAGACCAATCACACAAGAGCAGGCCATTGTGAGAATTTATATTTGCAATTTTATTTTAAATGTTTAAGTTTGGTAGTCTTGACAAATTTCTCTGAATATTTTATGGATCTAATCAACTCTTGGTTTGTTTCAGGAATTGAAGAATGTTGTCTTTGGCTCGCCTTCTGGTGCATTCAATAATGAATGGAGAATGCAGGGACTTGGATTCAGTGATATTAATAAAATGAAATTTGGCATCATTCAACATAAGGTCAGGTCTATCATTGAATATCAACTCATATCATTAAAGTCATCAATTTATTGTGTTTTATATAAATTAAATTGTTTTTTTTTTTTTTTAGCTAGTTTAACACAACTTGTAGAACATAAGATCTTCATCAGGACTGACTAGAATAGTAGATGGCCATGCATAAATACTGAAACACTCAAGTAATGGAAATAAACAACAGCTGTGTGGTAGGCAAGTGAAATAACTGTAGGTAAACAATGTCCATGCAGGTGTTACTGCCAAATGGGGCGTATGTGGACACCAGAGTCAATGTGTATGTTCACAGTCTGTTGAATAAACAGAGCTTCCTTGATTCTTCTGGTAGGGGTGAATTGTTCTTTGTCTAAGATTTTGGCATCCTCCCACTTGTCTGTATGTTGGCTGTTGCCTATATGGAGAGCAATGGCATTGTTCCTGTCCTTGTTCTTTACTACTCGTTTGTGCTCTGCCATTCTGACTTGAAGACTACGTCCCATTTTTCCGACATAAACTTTGCCACACTCGCATGGAATGGAGTCAAATTACCCTGTTGATTTTGGCCGAGTCTGGTTTTGTTTTCAGACTATTTCCATTTCCATTACTTGAGTGTTTCAGTATTTATGCCTGGCCATCTACTATTCTAGTCAGTCCTGATGAAGATCTCCGGATCAAAACGTTGTGTTCTACATGTTGTGTTAAACTTGCTCAAAAAACCATAACAAGTTTAATTTATATTTAAGAAACACAACAATGAACGAGCTATATTCATTTATTGTGTTTTCTTCTCCTTTTTTATATATAAATAACTAGTTCACTATTCTTGTATTCATTGCAATAAGCACACTCTATATTATGCTTTAGAGAGGAAATTCTCACTTTGTGTTTGTTTAAACTCTTCAGGGAGGTCCGTGTGGTATTCTAGCTTCTATTCAGGCATGTTTCTTACAACATTTGCTCTATGGGGAAAACAAAACCTCCACAGTATCAAGTCTTCAGCCAACAAGCCAAGTTTGTAGTGAGTGCCTGACCCAAGCTATCTGTGACATTGTGTGGAGAGCAGGAGAAAAGAGACAAGCAGTGATAGCTCTGTAAGTTTGCTTCAACTTCCAAAAGAACTGAAACATCTTAATGAGCTGACCTGTTAAAGGTTAAAAAGTACAGTCGAACCTTGTTAATAAGAGGTCCTCAGGATTTGGTAAAGTCCCTTGTTATAACAGGAATCTTGTATTATCAGGAATAAAAACAATGAGAAACAAAGGATTTTGACTTAAACATTTCCTTGTTATAAGCAGAATCTTACATTAACAGTGCTCTTATTAACAAGGTTCGACTGCATTAATATTCCTCAATACGGTGTTTGTTTCACAGACTAATGGTGCCTTAAAACAAAACTTCATAAGCAGCTACATTTGTGTTTCTTTTGCTGTTTTCAGGCCATCGACGCGAGCTCAGTTTACCCCATCAGGACGATATAAACCAGATGGTTTGACAGAAAAGGTAAGTCGCCAGGAAGTATGAGATTTGTGATGGTTTTATGGCTTGGCCGCGTAGTTCAGTAGTTTTAAAGAAATAGTTAATTTCCAATTCCTAATTTCGCTTGTCCACTTATTGACTGTGGTTCTAAACACGTATTAAAACATTAGGCATATAATAATGGGCTTACGAACCTCGAGCTGGACCAAGAGAGGGTGCTGTTCCTCAGTAACGGAGGCTCCTTTGGTCAGAATTGAACTTCGCTGTTTCATGAATGGCTAGGAAATGCACGATACACCCCCTACCAACATGGCTCATTTCAACTGATGAGGTGGTGCTTTTGCCCGAGGCGGATGACCTGTATCACTCAAGAATATCAGCGTTTGTTTATATCTGATTTTACGTTCAGCTGGTACTCAATCATTTTAAGAAGAAAGAGGACTTGTTGGAGTTTGTGTCAGGACATGCTGGGGTGTTTGAGTCCAGAGCATCCAGTGGTTGCATCCTGGTGTTATACTCTGCAATACAATCAAGAACAGTGGACAAGTAAGAACTTACACTGACTGTTTTCAACTGGGCATTTATAGTAATTCTCAATAAAAGCATAATTATCTGAATAACAAATGTTTCAGATAACTACACTCCACAGACAGAGTGCTACAGACCTGAGCCGGTCTTTAAGACCGGCCAAGCACATAGTTATTTCCATTTATAAATACCTTTTGTAGTCAGAGAGTCAAAAGAAGTCAATATATGATGTTTTAGAATTTTACTTTCATTTTCCCGAACACCCCTGTCCATTTTGTGGTATATTCCTGTGCAAGTTGTTTGGAAGATCTCCTTATGTGGACTTGGTGTGCGTGTCTTGTATCCAGGTGCCAGCGCGTGATTTACTTGGTGGGCATTCTGATTTCTCAGCGATCATTATCAAAAGTTAATACAGGGTTGAGTTGCTTATTGTTAAATAGGTAGACTGTCTGAAGTATTTATGAATTCCAGATATACATGTGTAAATCAATTGGCGATAATTATGATCATTTTAATACAGAGTGATAGAGGACATGGACGAACCTACCAACAGACTAATGGGAGCACATGGCTATTGCACACAGGTATTTTAGATTTTCGTTAAGAAGCAGATGAATCAACAATCTGGGACAGTCGATTCTGTCTCTCAACACCTGGAAATTATGTGATGTTCAGAAATGTCCAAAGTAGTGTTAAACATGTACTTGTGTTACTGCATTTATATACATGTACATGTATATTTTTGCCTTTACTGCATTCCCATTTTGATGTCAGCATCTTCATTTTACTCTCTCAACATGCAAATCAATTTGACAGCTTAAGTCTAGCGTTTAACTTTGTTGCCTTTAGGACATGGTCAACCTCCTTCTTACTGGCCGGGCAGTCTCCAATGTCTTCAATGATAAAATGGAGCTGGACTCTGGGAACAAGGATAAATTGATTCTGAGGGGTATTGGTAGTCGAAGTGATATTGGGCTGCTGTCGCTCTTTGAACATTATGGGTCCTGCAAGGTATGTCAGAAGAAATCTTTCTGTGTGGAATATAATGTAAGTTTCTTAAATCTAATGTTTGAAGTGGGTCCAGCAAGGCATGTCAGAAGAGATCTTTCTTTGTGGAATGTAATGCTGGAAGTGAGTGATAAATTAAGTTTAACTGAGATATACATTCAAGTATTTAAAGTATCATTCCTGTGTTCCTTCTTCAATCCTTAAGTCTACCTTTTACCAAAACCCTAAGTTTCCTGAACACTTCCAAAGCCACTTCTTGTTTACTCTGCCTGGCATTGCATCTCTCAAAGAATGGTTGATTGACCATGGACAGAAAAGCTACTGATGTACTGTGCTAGACGTGCTGACACTAACGTTAGAATTCCTTCAAGTAACGTTCCTGTTTGCTTAAAAATCCTAGGTTGGAAGTAACTACAAGACACCTCGCTATCCCATTTGGGTCATCTGCAGTGAAAGTCATTTTAGCGTCTTGTTCTGTTTGAAGAAAGAACTCTTAAATGATTGGAAGGTTGAACGTCGTTTTGACTTGTATTACTACGATGGTCTTTCCAAGCAACAAGATGAAATAAGATTGAGTATTGGTAAGATTTGGTTTCGATTTCTTCCAGTGAGTATGGGCTTAGCATGAAGCCATTGCATCTAGGGTAGATTGCCCTAATGAGATCAAGTCAATGTTTTCAATGATACTTCCACTTACACGTACCACAGGTATTACTCACGTGTACCTTATTACATTCAGAAAACCATTAATGTTTTGATTTTTTGGTCTCAGACACAACTCAAAGTTGCCCAGAGCACCAAGAGGAGGATTTGGTTCCACCACTGGAGCACTGCATCCGAACCAAGTAAGAAACATCAAGATCAACTACTTACAAGCATCCTTAATATTATTAAGGAAATAAACAATATGAAAGCGTTGTACTTGTATACTTGTACATATATTTCTGTTTCCATGTTTTATCCTCGTGTGTATTGTTAGTCATACCAATCTTGATAATTTCTTGATGTTTTGAGTACCTTTCCATAGTGGTTGAAATACCACTTTTTCATGTCTCCCTCTTTAAGTTCCCCGGTCTGCTCTTCCTTAACGGCACGTTCTCCCTTTCAGTCTTTTTTCTGTCTTTTCTCCCAACCTACCATGTACATCTGTAAATATATAGATGGCCTGATGCGGTAGTGAACTGGAATGGTACTGAGCCCATCTTGTAACTGGCTGCTGAGGAAAAAGGACAAAGTGGAAGCAATGATTAGCCTGCAGAAAGTGGCCTTGGATTGATGCTTGATTCCTTAGGAGTTGTTTTCATTGTGGCATCCAAAAATGCTTGTAAGGTAGTTGAACTGTGTTGAATTGTTTATTAGGCATTGTGAACCCAGCTAACAATTTGGTTTTATAGAATCATCATTAGCAGGGTGTTGGCCTATATCACAACTTTTCGGGTTTAAATTTAAAGAAAAATGACACAAAAACATACACGTAGTTACCTACTGTTTGAAATTTTAGAAGCAGTAACAAAGCTACAGTTTCATATGTCATATGTTTCATATAACAGCAGTAGGTTCACAGTTATGAGATTTGATACATTAACGTGTAACATTTTGTCACCAAACGACAACCTGAGCAGCGTCTGAGTTTTTTTTTGTTGCAATACGTTGCAAAGATTCCACCTTTCAGTAGTCACGTTGACCAAACACACAGAACACATGATCTTGTGGTATATCAGGACAGAATATAGTGCAGAGTATATGGCTGAGGTATAATCAGACACGACGAGAGCAGGTAAGTGTAATTGAATTCGGAGACTCAAGCCAGTGGAAATAAAAAATAAGACGTTTAAAGACTGCGTTCACCACTTATAGATTGTACCATTGAGGTAGGATGAGATATGAAGATTTGTAGGATTTAGAATAAAGTATGGAGTCCCAGTTATAATTTATTTACTCAGCAACTTCTTGAACTATTTTAGCATATCTCCGGTTGTGCTAAAGAGCAGCGTTTTCGGATGTCCCAAGGTATATTTCAACAGAGAGCATAATGTTAAAGTTTATCATGAACCTTATCCGAAAAAAATGGTATCGTACGAGGGACACAAAAGGTTTACACAGGCCTGTCCAACACTAACATAGACCTATACCTCGAAGATGGCCGCTACGCACGAGGTCTATATACAGCTACGTAGCCTGATAAGGTTTTTTTTAAAATAAGTTTGTGCCTTACACTGTAGCTTGAATTCACGAAAACTCATCTAAAGTGTGAGTGGACTGGTCAGTTTGAAATGCCGAGTGTATTATTTATTTGTCGTTCTTGTATCCCAATGATTTTCGTTAATGAACACTTGATTAAAACAGAACAGAAAAAAATCTGCGGTGTATACATGCTTGTTACTGGTCTGATTACACTCTTTCTTGTTAAAGTCGTTGTCATGGTATTGGCCGTAGATCTGCGCGTCGGGAAAAAAAGTTTTTCTTTGGTATAATACGGTGTCCAAAAGCTGCCAAACGTGTTTGATCGACTGGAATCCTGCTACTGTGTAATTTTAACGATGTTAGATGGGTGCGGTTGTGTACAGCACGTTTCTCTTTCTCCCTGCAAAACTTAATCGGATCTGGAATAACTGGTGTGCGCACGCAGTCTTCAAAGGGTCACTATATACGTATGACGAACCGTACAAAAATTGAAGGCCGGGGTGAAAGGCCGCTACCATGGAAAATATAATTCTGCTGTTAACGATATTGAATGTCTGTGAACCGTGTCGCTTCTGCTAGACTGAGGCCACAATGGCCACACGTGCACTGCACAAAACGTCCAGTTCTCTTCAGAGCTATATACACACAAAAGAGTTGGTCACAAAAGTGTGAACCTCCTTGTATAACTCTCCCACAGCTTCACAAAATCCAAACAGTTTGGGTAAAAAGCCCCAACTCTTTCAACGTCCGAAAATAAGCTGCATATGGTCAACACCATCGGCACACTGTAAGTACGTGAGAGTGATTTTGTTTTGGAAGGAGACAATTTGCTTGTATAGAGAAACCAGATAGAACTTGAGAACAGTGCACACAGAATAAATGCTAAAAATTAAATGGGTAAAAAGTTATGTAGGCCTCTGTACTATGATTTAAGTAAAATATGGCAAAAATTGATACAAAATTTCTGTAACTTTAAACTGACCATAATTTAGTATGTAAACGTGTAACTTCGGTCTAGGGTTTGCATTGACAAAGGAAGTTATTCGAATACGGAAATGCATGCAGTTTAAATATTACCGGCCCAAAGGGTACATCATTCCTATCCAGGCCCAGCTCCACATGTGGATGGAGATTTCGTATTGGGTGATATGAGGTAGGGTGGGGGGTGGGGAAGTGGCTTGGTGGATGGAGATACCGCTACCCTTGGTTTGGGATTTAGCCTAGCGGGGCGAGGCTTTAGTTGGGGCCGGAGGAGTGTGGCCTGGGCGAGCTGGTGAATCGATGGTGTGATGGGGATTCGGTGGGATGAATTGAGTGGAACAGAATTATAATTTCATTGGACAGCAAAAGAAACTTGCCACTTCTGTCAAAGGCTACACATAAAAATTCACTCCATAGAAATAAATAATCAAAAAGGTCACAGAATGTAACAGAGTGAGCCTTAAGTTTTACGCAGAAATCAGTGTCACAGGACGAAATAAAGATGTCACAATCATTACTTTTTCAATAATGTATATACATAGTCAGTAAGGATGGCATCTGCCTCTACACAGAAGCCACTCATGCACATCATTTTGACAAAACAGGTGTTCACTTTGTCATTGGTTGTTCAAAATGTCCATTCATGGGTCATTTTTGCTTAGTGGAGAGTGCTTTTGTGAGTGACTTTCGATTCAGTAACCAAGTTGCTGTGCATATCAATTTCTTCTTTGTTATAAAGATAATCACTTGTTTTGTGATTAGTAAGGGGTATTGCAGCATACCTGTGTACAAAAATTGTTTATTTCTATGGAGTGAATTTTTTGTGTGGCCTTTGACGGAAGTGGCAAGTTTCTTTTGCTGTCCAGTGTACTTAGGTAGGATGAGTTGGGACTTTGGGATGGGATTTGTTAGACCGTGGGTGGAAATTCTTCGATGATTAGGAATAATTTATGTTGAAGTGAGTTAGGTTGGACAACGATGGTGGTTCCTGAAGGATTGTGATTTTCTAATATTTTTGTATTTTATATTTCAAATTAATCTTGGATTTGATAAAAAAATTTTAACATTTGATACATTTCTTTTAGCCATACAGTTTGGAAAGTGTGAGAAAAGTCCGCAAAATTTTCAGGATCATAATATAGGTCACTGTGTGTAGAAAAATGAACGTTACCGCGAAAGATACAAAGTTTCCTGCAGTGTTCATTTAAGCGAATGGGGTTTGCATTTATGAATGAAGCAGCGAGCCATGATAGCTTCACTATTCTACTTTTCAGTGTATCTGTAGAGAAGACCGAAATCAACTCCAGAAAAGATTCTTCTGTTAAATAACCTAGTGACTTTTACTCATTTTCAATGCACGCTAAAGTACTTAAGCTCAAACACTTATATTTGATCGACTCCTGACTGAAAATTCGCCCATCAAAACCCTTTAAACACATTTAGTGCATATGGTAAAAGTACATCAGCAGGTTTTGGAACAAAGTTTTCGTGAGTGTCATTTGGTTTTGTTTGGGACTTTTTACATGTATTCAGAGGGAAGCTGTACATTGCAACCGACACGTGTCAATTTACCTTTCAACTTTCAATATCCAAGATGCGTGACGATCTCACGGAATAAATTTGCTTTCACAATTTCCAGACCTACATTGATAAAATATAAAAATTATTAAGCATTTGAAACTGTCTTGTTGTGTGGTTCTTGTTGACACAGGACAGCCCAAGCAAATTCCACAGTTTAATATATTCAGAATGAATTCAGTGAATTGGTCTGAAATTGACGCTCAAATGTCCCGTTCTTCACTACGCGACGGCTTCTTGTCATTTTACGAGAGATTTGTAATTGCAAACTTAAGTGATGTATCTGTTTGCCCTTCCAGAACTATAGGAGTCATATCACTATGGCAAACACAGGCAACGACTTGCGCCTAGGACTAGAATTCAATGCTGCAGGACGGGCTGCAGTCTTGATGTCGTTCACCTTTAACACGTTTTGGGGCGGCATATTTAAAACTCTTGGCGTGATTCTACCGACGCTGAGAGACCAGTTTGCAACTCATACTTGGATTGTTGGGAGCATGATATCAACCATGACGATTGCGTCTAATTTAGTTGGTAAAATGTTTTATGGTTTGCAGGGGAGTATAGCCAGTTTGTTTTCAGATCTAGACCTTTCACACTTGACGTCACCTTCTAACTTTCGCTACTATTGTTTCATATTTGCCTTTTTTGGTGGTGGGGGGGGGCTAAAGACTGCCCCCCGGTAGAACCGTGCCTGCAGTGAGTTCTCTTTTCTCGGGCAGGAAAGAGGAACTTTAGTTTGAATGCTGTCTCCAAGCCCTTTTTTAGGTCGTTGAGGTAACATCAGTCTATAGCTGTATTCCAGATACACAGACAGCAATTATTTGTTTCCAACCTCTTCCTGGCGTTTGTTATAAAGCGAAAAATTGACTTAGGTCAAACTAGCAAACGTCGAGTCAGCCTAGATGATGTTAACAGTAATCGAACCACTCAAATTTCCGCCATTTACATATGGTGTCAGACTTGTGTATATAGTAGACCCGTATATTGGCATTCATAAAAATGTAGTAATACTTTTCTTCTTTTTTTGCAGGTCCGATCACCATCGTTCTGGACAAGTTTGGTAGCCGACGAGCGTTACTATTTAGCTCAGCCCTGATAAGTCTAGGTTTGCTGATAGTTCCTCTAACGTCCAGCATCTTGCAAATCGCCATCAGTTTTGCTTTACTAGTTGGTAGGATTTGATAATGATTAATAGTTGATAATGAGTAATGTTATGATTTCTTGATGTACACCGCTTGAAAGTACGTCCATTAGAACAGTTCACAACAAGAACAGCTAGTGTATGTAGAAGACGCATGACTGCAGAATGATATACATTTTTACTTTAAAAACATGGCAAATCGAAAAATTCGTCGTGGAATCTACTCATCAGATTTTTTGGGGGGAGAGCAATCTGATCATAATCGAATTGAAAACGAAGCTATGGTGATAGTGTAAGCCAGTCGTATTACGAATCTTTTATTGATTTAACCTCATTTACACGTGTTCTTTCGAGATTTCGAGTCTAAAGTATAAAGATCAAAGATGGCAAAACCCTAGTAGGGATGTTGAGAGTTGAAGGAGAGTTGAAAACCAAAATATTTTTGAACGAGTCAATAACGACCTTAGTGCCGCACGCCGTCATTTAAATTAATGCTTCATCAGTTCTGTCTCAGTGTAATATCATTCCTGCTGTTCCGTAATAACTGGGTTTTTTCTTTCATGCAGGGCCAGGAATTGGCATCACTTACGTTGTTAACAAAGCTGTGCTTGGGCGCCATTTTAGCAGGCATTATACTCTGGCAAGCGGGATCGGCCATTCCGGTTACGCAGTCGGACTTCTTGTTCTGACACCATTGACCCAAGTTTTCCTTGATACCTACGGTTGGAGAGGTGCAACACTTCTTATAGCAGGGATTACCATGCATATGATACCATGTGCTGCTCTCATCAGAGATACCACACCACAGTATGCGCCTCCCACGGAAAAAAATGACGACACAACAAGTGGCACTAGTGGCTCAATTTGGTTGCGTTTTTACCAACGGGCGGATCTTCAACTTTTGACAGACTTCAACTTCTGGATGTTGTGCATAATTGTATTGGCAGTGAACATAACCTGCGCTTCTTGGGTGGTGTATTACGTTCCCCATCTTCTTGTCAAAGACTTCTTGCCCCGAGTAGCTGCTACCCTAAGCTTAGCAGCTGGTATAGGGTACTTCTTCGGTATGACCGTAGGGCCTTTCATTGACAGAGGGCTTATTAAGTGCTCTACAGCAACAGTAATTGTCAGCGTAGCTCTGTCTTTGTCATTTCTTGTGGATCCTTGGGTGAGTGACGTTGTAGCCATCGCAGTCGTTACCTTCATTTATGGTCTTACTTCGTCGGCCATGTTCATACTCTCTGACGTACTTGCAACGCAAATTTTTGGTATTGATCGACTGACCAACGTGTTTGCATGGCTGGATGTTTTATCTGCGCCAGTGGGAGTTACAAGCCAAGTGTTGCCAGGTCAGTATATTTGTGAAGAAAAAGCAATCGTTAGAGTAAAATTGTGTTTATTGGAATTTGTCCAAAAACACACCAATTTTTAGGCCTATATGATTTGAAAAAGTGATTTTATCTTATGTTGATAGCCTGAAGATAAGAGTTTATCCTTACGACAGTTTATTATTATGTTAGCATTCGTGTAAACTTCTAAAATTTGATCGTCATTCCATGGTATCACTTCTCTGTCTCAAAGGTTGGATATACGACATCAGTGGTAGTTACGACATAGCTTTCATTGTAATTGGTCTGATTCCCATGTTGGCCCTTTTTCCACTGATTATCGCTAAACTACGGCATGGAGTCTAGGAACTACATTCACATGGTGAGAGCCCAACAATTTGTGCAGCTGATATCACAATTTTGAATGAGACGCAAAAATCTTAAGTATTTGACATTTTTCGATATTTGACATAGCTTGATTTGTCTCACTTCATCACTCCAGCCTGGTGTTGCCTCTTTTAAGTGCAGTTCAAACTCCATCTGGCATGAATGAGCTATACAATTAATTAGGTTCTACACGATTCACACAAACCTAGCTTCAACATTTATGACAACTGATTGTACGTGCTGTTGTGCATGAAGCAGCGTCATGAACTGTTGTGTTCCTCCTTCAGGTGAAGAGGATCTGGCTTTGACGATCAACATCGGTGTGAAGGGACAGCTGAGATGTCTTTTTTCATCATTATATTCAAATGATTCATAATAAGTATCATTCTATGCCCAAAAAATAGTCTGAGATTCGTCTCGATCTCAGTTTGCCTTTCTGTTCTGTCTTTATGATTTGTCATATAGCGTTTGTTCATAATCATAAGCCGCCAGTTATTTTGAAATTCGTTTTGAAACACTCTAGACAAGTAATGATGTCATAAGATTGTGAAAAGCCAAAATCAGTTATATTGAGTGGTAGTTTAAATAATAGTGACGTTATATTGTTGTTTGTTGTTGCTGTTGCATGTTTTTGTTGTCTTTTGTTGTCTGTTTGTTGTTGCTGGTGTTGTTTCTAGCTGTTTAGAAAATGAGGAATTCTTTATCAAGTCTGAGATATGTTAAATTTCATCTGGTAAAGTATAGTAAAGAAGGAGGAAAACAGAAAGAAAAAGTGTGACGCCAAATTAATGTTCATTACATCCCAAACTAACCTTTGTTTTAAAGCTGTGCCATCCTGTGCTATGTAAGACGAAATTTCCGGGTTCGAGTATTATTATAAGCGTATAATACACACCGGCAGGAGTTGGAAGTGATTTCAACATTCAACTGAATCCACTCCAACATGGTCGAAACTAAAAACCCCGTGCACTGAAGGGCGAACTTTGGGAGCATACGGATATGCCTTCCAGAAAATATGGATTGATTGGAAGTTAATCTTGTCCTTAAATTAAACAAAACTTCAAAGCTGCTACCCAACCTCTCTCAGCAAGCCTGGCTTTCTTTTTTCTATTCCGACTTGAAACAGAATACAATCTGCTGTTCCCAGAACTGTGGGTGATTGTATGAGTCACAAATGTTAAGTTCAGCCAACTGCGCAGTTTCGTTTGAGGGGAACTTTCGCCTTCGTAGTTTCCGTGTTCCCAGGATCTGAACTAATATATGAACCTCTGAACTTCACAATATAAATGGACTTGATTTTTCTCGTTAGGAAGAGAATTTAATATGTAACCTGGCAGCAATCAGAGGTGAGTACATATGCATCATCGAATACTTTTAAAAAATTTGAAATGTTTGTATTTATGGAATTGTTCCCAAGTAAAGCATAGCGAGGTGTCAAAAGAATTAACTTTACATACACTATGGGATTATTATCTAACTTTACATTTATTGAGTGTTTTTCCCGAAGTCACTTGAAGGGTACATCGATTGTGTAGTCATAGTATATGTAAGTAAAATCTTTACTTCTGATGACAGAAAATTGACGTCTTTGAAGGTAGGTGGCTGTTCACCAACTTAATTTTGCCTGCAGAAAAAGGGAATTCTGTTTTCACCATTGCGGAATTTTTACATCATCCATCTTCTTGTCTTTGTCAAATCTGGACGGCGTTCATACTAAGCCAGTTCTAGAGCCAAATTTTCGGGGGAGGGAGAATAAATATGTGAGGGTTTTCATGTTACCTTTATGGCCTTTCTTCCTGAGAGATGTGGTTACATCTTGGGTTTTACATGCTTTTTAAAATTGGGAAGAAATGGAATAGTCCAACATATCGTTCTTTCAGTTGAAAAAAATCTTGGTGGGTGTAGCACCGTCCTTGCTGCCGCCATTGCGTCCATGACACGACGTTTCCGCTTTTCTGAAAATTTCAAGAATAGGCCCACACATCACGTCCGATGATTTTCAAACATTCATGGTTATTTCCCCTTCTTGTTTGTTGGTTAACTTCAGATATAAACATAGAAGATTGCCCACAACCGTGAGTCAAGCACCCTGAATAAACTTGAGGCAAGCACAGGTGACAATCATGGATACGAAGTCTACACTTGTCTTTATTAAAGCACTCAATATTTCGGACGACAGTTTTACTAACTGTGCCAGTGCTGTCGCTATATCCACCCTGGACAACATGACAGAGATGTCATTAAAAAACCATTCGATGAGTGCGTCTTTACAAACCTACCCGGAGCGAGTTGTAGTGGCTGTTTTTATTTTCCTGATTTCACTGACCAGTATCACTGGCAACACCATGGTCATCTTGTCCGTGACGTTCAGTCAGAAGCTACGAACATCCACCAACGTCTTCGTGGTCAGTCTCAGCGTGGCTGATCTACTGGCAGGGTTTGCAGCACCAATGAGTACTGTCGGTTTGCTAACTCCTGGGGACAAATGGCCATTGTCTTCTGAGGTACCCTGCTCAATCGCTGGCAGCCTTCTGTATATAAGCTCTGCTTCCAGTCTCTTCAACTTGGCCTCTATCGCTCTCAATAGATTGATCCTCATAAAGCGCCCAATGACGCTCTATCGTAGTCTCTACAACAAGCGAAATCTATTCATCAACGTAATCATAAACTGGATCGTTCCAGTCTGTACTATGTCTTTGCCTCCTTTGTTTGGCATTGGTGGTTGGGGTTACGACGAGCAGCATCACTCATGCAGCGATCGCGACACTCACCCAAACGCCAAGACTTTCGAAATGATTCAGACCAGTGTTTCCTATCCTATCCCGCTTATCGTCATCGTTACAAGTTACTTAGCAATATTCGTTCACGTGCGTCGACACTTCAAGAGACAAAAGGCTTTGCATGGTATCGTTGCGACTCACGTGAGTGCTACAAGCTCCACTGAAGGCTCCAGTTTTGTTGTTATTGAGGGAGCTACCGCTGCCAAGTCTGCTCACGTGGAACGCATCAATCGTCAGCAGCTTGAGATCACAAAGAATCTCTTCACTGCTGTCTGTGCCTTCTTTATCTGCATCACTCCTTACTGCGTGGCACTTTTCATCCCAAACAACGATCGTTTCTTGCTCTTTGGTGGCTTACTATTTTTCTGCAACAGCATCGCCAACCCGATTATCTACGCTGCTAAACATCCACAATTCAAGAGGGTGATGCGCTGCCTGCTGAGGTGCCAGTACTTACAGATAGAACAGCCGTCGGACACGTTGAAAGCTCTGATTGCCTGCGCACAGAGTCAGAAGCAAAAGCCAGCAGAATCCTAGGCCCAAAGAACCTTGTGCATACATGTACATGCAGCTGTCGAACTCAACAGAGTTGTTATTTTTGTGTGTTGGCTGACTTACGAATTATGCTAACACTGAGGTGCAGCCAAGCGGTTACTCCGCGAGGAAACATCGTTTGGATTAATTGGCCCTGCGCCCGTGGGTCTAATTCTGACATCACCTGAAATAGTTTACTCATTTACCCATTGATACATTCTGTAACATTTTAGTGTCTTGATCTTTGTCTGCAATTGTGTGACATTTCCGAAGCATTTATAGTACCAGATCTGTACACCATTTAAGCATTCTCTTGGGTGTTGAATTCACGTAGAAGTGTATATTTACCCAGTGGCTAAACTACGGGGGGGGGCACGGAGGTGCCCAGGCCTTTTGGCCCTCCTCCAAACTGAAATTTGTGAGTAATCTCCGTTGAGTTTATATAGCTGCAGCTTATTTTGTTGTTGTACCCCCTTGAAAAAAATGTTTGTGACCTTGGGTTACATTTAGCCCTATAGTTACGCCACTTTTTCCATTACTGTTGGCATTCTTACTATTTAGCGTGTTCATAAGATACCAGTTTATACTTCAATAAATCTGATTTTCACAACCAGGAAAACTTATTTAGACCTTAAACAATTATCACAATTTAGCAAAACTTTCAACCAAACCAATTTTTCAGTACACTGACGCAAATCTATGCTACTGAAACATAATATGCTCAATGAAAGGTGTATTTATCATGATAACATTTCAGTATTTTGGCTTTTTTTCTGAGTAATAATCAACAATGACGCTGCTTCATTTTGCTATCAAAACGCGCGATGTCTCACACCGATGTTGTTGTTCTTATTGCTTGGCAATAAGATAAATTAAGAGCATTGACTATATATATTCTTGTCTGCATTCTGATCACTGTGCTACGCAGCCCTTTCACATTTCACCGATGCTGCTGCTTTTAGTCACAAATAAAAGGATAACAAAGCTTTTTCATATCTTCATTATAGTTCTACAGATAAGGAGTGCTAAACGTTTCGTAAACCTGAAGAGCTATAAGCCTCAATTCCATGTTGCCTTCTAAAACTGTATTTAGTTATAATCGGTCTGTAAACATGTTTTTAACATACACATTACGATACTTCAAACATGTTTAGTATTAAACTTGTTTATAAACTGATTAGAGAAGGGTTTGATAATGCTTAATAGTGTTTGCAATGCGGAATATATCGGTGAAGCTTTCAGCTTACTGCAAAGGTAACATTAACCAGATTGTACTGTTGTAGAATCTGCACGCGACCAAGTAACTACCTATATTTATGTACATGTTATTCGAAAAGCGAACGGCTACAAGAAATTATTTTTTAGTGAAAAACAGCTCTTGGCAAGGATTGCTGAGTATCTATGTACAAATTGCAAGCGATTTACACAATCTCATGTTTACAGGTCATTTTTGGAACAATTGAAATATTTCTTTACTTTGATTTTGGAAATAACTATCAGATATATATCTAGAACAGTTTCACTTCACTGCTTTCTTTCCTGAGTGCGGTTTGTCAAGTTGTACGCTGAATTGGCCCATTTCAGACACCTATTGGGTTGATTTCATATTTTAACCTTTCGAATTCTCAGTTTCCACTCAAATCGTCAAATGAAACTTTTAATCTCAAATGAATCAGTCCATTTAAACAAATTGCAGCTCCTGTAACTGTGTTGATAGACAGCCTGAACTAAGGCTACCGAATTATGAAAGTCTCGCCCATGCATTTAATCCTCTGGGGCCTCCTCGTTGGCCTCCTCGTTTGCAATTTTTGTCTTCTGGCACGCCCACTTCCAATTCAAAAGACAGGTGGATGTCAGAAGGAGATGCTTTGGCAAAGTTGATCGGAGTATGCTGAATCCAAATTATTATTCGGCTTTCAAGAAAAACGCCTGTGGTCAATTCGCTCACAGATTTCGGTGGTAGTTATCTACAGTGAACGTGATAAATATGAAAAGTATGATTTAACGGTAACAACTCACTGAAAAATACTTAAGTAAACTAGCAACAAAGCAGAAATAAGCTATGCAAAATTTCATAAGGGCTACTTACAAAATAGTTGGATCTGCTTGATTGATGGATAGGTTCCAAACAGTGAGCTGTTGGGACGACACAACGTTGGTTTGTGCAGTTTCTACTGTATCGTGATTACTGTGACCATAAAATCACTCTCATGGTCCGTGATGGGCGCAGATCGGGGGGGGGCATCAACCCCCCCTCCTCTTGCTCTGAGACCAAAACCAAAAAGGGGAGGAAATGGGGAAATATTAAAATACATAAAGTAAATGCACCGATACCATTGTAAACGATAATGTTTCATCATTTCTGCTTGTCCACAAAAATGCGACATTAAAAAAAATCTCCGGCCTGACCCCTCCCCTCGAAAAATTTCCGGATCCGCCCTTGTAAGTGTATGCATAGTCAGTGAGTTGGCAAATCTGGGGGATGATTATATTGGTAATTCCTCAGGTCAAAAAGTGGGGGCGCAAGTATCTCTCCCCACAATCCCCCCCGGATCTTTGTCCATGTCTTAGTCAGTGTTAGCCGAATTGACATTATCACCAGTGCAGGCCTTCATGAGGATCTCAGAATGTAACTGATGAGATTACTTACCGAAGACCTTAGCTTAGCGCTCATTGTCTCTGACTTCTCCCCGAATGTGCCAATACTCTGTCTAGATCTGCAGGTGCTGCTAGCACTAAACTTCCGGCCTGCTTCTGTCCACTCATTGGGCCTATAGTCTGCTGGACAAGCAGGGAAGATCTACTTTCCCAACTTGCTTGGCGTAGGACGCCATGATAATGACATCCATTATCAGTAGTGTGACTAGGGTAGGATTTCTTAACGGGCAACCGGAGGTATTCCCTTTTTCTGAAAGGACATTAAAGGCAAATTACTTCTGACTTGTACATAAGTTGTGTACATTTCGATATTGGGGGGGGGGCTGGGGGACGGACATCCACTGGGGCCACTTATGCCACTGTCCGTCACCGCGTTATTTTAACACATTGAAAACAAGAACACTTGCAATAACGAAAAATTGTGGAGGTTGTTTTAAAGTTATTAAGTGCGAATCGGAGTAATTTCAAAATGATTGGGTTTGTCTTTTTTTTCTGCGACTAGATTAAGCCACTTAACGCTTTCTGTAGTTGCAAGCCTATGGGCAAGAATACATCTTTTAAATATAAGAACTCCACACAATAAAGTCGATGTAAGTAGAGAGATTCTTGCGTAGTTGGCATTTCGAAAATTACGCATGCTTGACTAACCCTTTTGTAGCATCAACTCACAAGCGTAGGGTTCCTTGAGATGTATTTGTTCAACACTCATGAATAGCCATGCGTGTTTTTTCAATGTGACACTGCCAGACTTCCCAGACAGTAAACATGGCTACGTTCTGAACAGATCTAAGGTGTAGCCATCGTGTCAAGATCTGCTGTTGACATGGAGAGATTTTTGTCTACCCATTCCCTATTTGCCCTAGTTCTCTTTTTGTGCGGAATTGGAGATTACGTGCACCCTTGGACAAGTGCATTTGCAGGTACACATCTTAAGCTGTATTTCTAACATGGTTGTGACTTGTGATAATAATTACAATAGTTGAAATGACTTGCTTGACGGCAGTGGATGGAAAGAGTTCCATAAACGGACAATACTCAATTTATCGCTCTGCTCAATGACGATGTTCTCACTGGATTGGACCAAAAATGTGTTCATAATACTTTAGAACGTTCATTACGGTCTCAAGTGTTAGCTATGTGCACCAGATCATTACGAATCTACAGACTTTCCGGAAAGAGTTTTATATTCGGGGTACGCCCCTTGACACTCTGTGCACAAACTCTGTGAGACTTTTCTGAAAAAGTCTTGTTTTCTAAGTAAACGTATTGGTTTTTTCCCTCCTAAACTGAGCTTTTCTTGACATGTTTTTGCTTTCTGAAGGCTAATAGGTCACTGTAGGGAATGATTACTGGCGTCCGTATGTGGACCTCTTCCCAGCCCAATTACGAATAGGGTCCAGATAACGAGTTACCCCGGATATCCTAACTCCCATTATCAATGGATGTGGAAAGTCCATAATATTTTTAGCATAAAGCCATTTTCAAGACGAAATTGTAGAATTTTATGTTTGAAATTTTTATGTTGATATTATTCGGTAAAATGTCAGAGGCAAGACTTCCCCTTGCTGTTACGGAAATTCTTTTCCTCTTCGTCTGGAAAAAGAATGCCTTATGTTGAATAATATTATTGACTCCTTGCACTCGTTTGAAGTTGGGGCTAGGGTAGAATGTATCCCGGTGTCTGGCCCCAGTAAGCCTTTTGCGACTTAAATTTGAAAGTCTTTTACAATGAGTTGTCCGATCGCACATGAACACATTAATTTGAATTCCCCAGACTAAAGACACTGTAGCTGTACCTCGTCATTCGCAGAAGGCTCTTGCATAGTGACTACCTTTTCTGGAATGGACTGGTTCCTTCATACCTTTTATCCATTGAAAACAGGGTATTGGTTCAAGGCGCCCCCTATTTAAGCAAAAGCTTAATTGCCCCGAATCACGAGGTATAGCAACAGTGTCTTTAGTATGGAGAATAGACCCGTTGCGCCCGCTAAATCACGTGACCTATAGTGGTTATCAACCCATATCAACGTGTGTTTGAGTGTTAAAGCCAGATGATGGCATAATACCCAGCACGTCGGTCGTTTGAGTACGGTACCTATCGTCGGCTTCAGTTTTGGTAAATGATACTTTTGAGACACTTTGCTTTTGGTTTACGCCGTGTTTGTTGATATTTGATACCCGCGATACGTCTATGTAAATTGTTATGTTCACGTAATTTTAAGAACTCATTGTACCACATTTTATTCAAATTTTACTCGCAATAGGCTTATTATGGGTTACCTCTGCATATCAAATACAGCTTCATGGCTTTGGCATCAGAAATTATAAAACTCACTTGTTCTAATGAGATCAAGTTTTTGTTGTCAACCTCTGTGACTGAATTAGTTTCTACAGTTACAGGTCGTATTGCCTCGTTCGATGAGGTTAGCTGGACAATTTGAGAGCAGTGCTTGTTTGTTTTTTCGATGAAGATTCGTCGGTCTGTTCACCATCGTTGATGCTGAGACTCGAGCCCCTGGATTTGGAGGGAATTTTAACAGTGTGTGCTGTATCTCTATGGGGTCTTGTTTTAATCTTCGTGGTGACTATACTTCTGTATTCACTGATCAGACACTGGTAAGTGTGTAAGGGATTCACAGATCTTTAGAGGGCTTTTTTTTAAAATAAAAATCTTTCAGGGGTCAATTTGTCTAAAACTGTCACCGATGGGCGGAGTTTGCGTTTAAAATCTGGGCATGGTAAAAACGAATCCAAATCCATAACCAAACGTTTGCCTTGCTTTGGACCCGGAAAAATTCAGAATCTTGTAAAACCAAGATTTTCAAAGAGATAATTCCTGGTTAGAGTAAGCGGAACTGGCTCTTTGGTGCAAATGGTTTGATTGGCTGTGCTTGGCTAATTGGCACCCCACCCCTTGTAAAATTGTTACCTCAGTTTATTGGCCTTTTTCGATAACCTTTGCAAGGCAATTTACACGTGTAAACTGACCAGTCAAAATTGTTGTCGTTTCTCATTTCTCTTTAAACATCGATTCTTGCATGCCATGTACCATGTCCGGCAGGAAGGAACCCAAGGCAGGAGATAGCAATGATTCAACACATCTAGGCAACCACAGTCACTCAAGCAGACAGAATGAAGTCTCTACATACTACGTCTACATTGGACCTACAGATGCATCGAATACTGAGCCGAATATCCAACCTAACACCTGACTGAGATGAATCGAGAATTAGGTTAGTAGTATCAGAGGCCATTTCTGCAGTCAGTGACACCGCCTTCCGCGAATTTAAGCCTTGTACTTATCCTTCAGTGTGATGCCACCGCAGAAGTGGAATCTCCTTAGTGTAGGGGTACGATACACCCACTTTGTCATGTGCTACATTTATATGTCACTTTGGATTGTTAGGCTTCTACCAATTCAATTTGTTAAATTTAGATTAAAATTTGGCCAATACAGAACTGACTTTATAATCCTTTCAAAATTGTGGACAAAACTGGTACATTTTCTTTGCTAGGGTCATTCGTATAGTGTATGTTATTTCAAGATAATTCTAATATGTTATTTTCAGCTCAAAATCAAAGTAAGCTCTTAGGTATGAGCCTTGGAATTTAATATGAAATTTGTTCAATCATTGAAAATTAATTCAAAGCAGAGGTTGAAGAGATTCATGTTTATATTTTAGATTGAATTCAGATCATTGTTTAGAAGTTCAGTAAAGTTATGTGATTACTTTTCAGCTTAAAATCTAATTATATTGCAAGGGGTTTACCTTCTAAGTTGATCTTCATCATTTTCAGCTTATAATTAAATAAAACGTAAGGCCTTGCAATTCACATGTAATTGAAACATTGCCAGAGTTGTGTTTGTTCCAAGTTTTCTTCATTGGACAAAAGAAATTATTGAATGCAATTTCAAACAAATTTAAATTTAATCATTTTAGCAGAGAAATAGATTAAAATGTGAAGGGTAAAGCCTTTCAATTAAATTTTGCACAAAACAAATGTTTCCCTAATCCTTTCAAAGTAAGTTTTGAAATGGAAAAGGCATTTTAAGGCGAGTATAAACCTCAATTCTTTCTTATTTGAAGTCAAGAGAACATTACTTTATATATTTATGGAATTGTTAGCATTTTTTTATGCTATCATTTTCGGCTGCAAGAGGTCGGCCTTGCATTTTTAATAAAATTCTCCCACAATAGGCCTATGAATTTGTACCCAAGTCCTTCTAGAATGCGTTTTAAATAAAAGTAAGATATGAAGCTTTGCATGGTGGAAGAGACATGAGAGATGGGTTTACGGGTACACCATGGAATCAATCTCTTTTGGGCGAGGTGTGGTTCTTTAAAGAACCGGTGAGTGTTAACTCGCCGTTTCAGCCAGTGTGCTCTGGCCGTCCTCGGGAGAGTGTGCCAGACTGGAGTGGATAGCTGGTTGTAAAAGTAATCTGGAAGCGGTGGAAGGGGATTTTCGGGTTGCGTGAAGATTTTGGATCCTGGAATTGGCAGGAAACCTTGGGTTCGGGTACAGGCGACCCTTATGCCGGGGGGGGGGGTTCGGGTAGAGAAGACCCTAACGCCTGGGGTGGGGACGTGGGTTTCGGGTATAGGGGACCCTACCGCCGGGAGTGGGTGTTTGCTTGGGTGCTAGTAGTGGGCGCCAGATGTCGCTGAGCTGGAAACAGATGTCTTGGGGTAGGGTGTTGTGCCGGAAAATCTCGATGGCTTCTTGGATTCTCCTTGGGAGCCAGTTCTGCTTTGTACCATTCGATGCAGTGGCCCGTGAAATGTGCATGTTTGATGATGGCCAACTTGTCGTATTCTTCTCGTCGGCCAAGCGAGCGGTGTTCTGGTGTTCTGGTGGGGAGGTTCCTTCTGTTTTCCCCGTGTACATTTGGCTGCATTCACATGGAATGCGATATACACCGGGGCGACTACTGGGTGGGTGTCCTTGTGGGTGTGCAGCCTGCAGCTTGTTGGGTGCTGAATGATGTACTTTGATGCTGGCCGTCAGCAGGATGCTGCACAGTTGGTGGGAGGTGGGGCCCAGGTACGGTAGACATACTGTGGCAATGGGGGTTTGGGGGGCTTCGGGTATAGGAGACCCTATAACGTCCTGGGGGAGGGTTTGGAAAGGTTGATACGTTAGTTGCGGTAGCCGTTCATCTTGAGGGCGGACCTGAGGGCGTTTTAAATATAGAAGAGCAATCTCTTTTGTTTCTTAAGCTTAAAAATTCAAAATTGACCAACCATATGCGGACAAATGATGGCGCTTGTGCCTTGGTGTCGATCCAAGAAAACACTACTTAGTTTACACATTTTCATGTTCTAGTTATGAAATCAAAATTTGCTATGATGTGAAAACATTTCTGAGAAAAGGTTGCTCACTGCCTTATTGCCATATACTTAACAAGCAAAAAATAGCCAAAGGAAATGAAATCTACCATACAAGCTAGACATTCTTTATGCACAAATCAGTGCAGCATTAAAGTTCAGTGCCTTGGATGACATGATAGTTTTGCTCATGAATATGCAAAATTAAATTAGCGTTAAAACAGAAAAGCTCAAAAATCTGGTTATATTAGTAAAACAATAATTTAGAATCATTTTAATTGAAACCCAAAGGTCTAATTTCAAGGGATTTTTAAAGTAAAATTTGATAAATATTTTCATTGTATGGTCCCTTTACGTTAAGCGTATGCATCACTTCTATGGGTTTAACATTCTTGAACAAATCCTGGGTGCGAGAATGTCATGATTTTCTTTAGGAACAGAGGAAATTTCACTGCCCAAAAAAGCTACTGCAAATTTAGTAATTACGTAAGGCCATTGAGTAACAACACAATTGAACCAGACGTCTCGTTTCCATCACAAAAGGTCACTGGCGTGCAGTGTACGGCCTGAACAAAAAGCAAGACTAAACTGCACGAAGCAAACATTCGTGCCCTGCCTCTGTGGCAAAAACTGCGTACCAGGCTACATGGACGAGACGCGATCAATTGCAAACATGGCGACCCAACGACGATCAAGTAACATCCCGTTAGTTCTGGTTGTCAGTTTGTTGACGCCATTGCCATTACAACTGGCACTTGAAGGTACTGTCTGCACATATATCGTAAAACCAAAGAACACAATCTAACACTGATCCACAGCAATGCCTATTGATTTAAGTCTTGCTCTTCTTGTGTCATGATTCCTTGAAACATACCTATAAAAAGTTATTTAAATTGGCAACTTCAAGGAACCGTTGTATCCATAAATATTTTAATTTCAGTTACATATATTGTCTGACGACGACAGCTGAAACTTTTGATGATAGCAACAGTACAAGACTTTGTTGGCTTTGTGTATCTTGACATTTCTATTTTCGTTTTTCATACAAAGATTACGCTGTGCCGACACCGCCTAGGGTCGTTCAGTATCACGGTACCATGAGGGCGGGCACTATGATTGCTGTGGTTTTAGGCTGCGTCATCGTTCCTATTGGACTCATTGAATTTCTGATTTTGATGATTAGATTTTGGTGAGTTTTTTATTTTAAAAATATGCTAGTCCATCCCGATTGCGTCTCCCGTCCATCCTCCATTCCCGTCTGGGTTGTTGGGCAGGGACGCTCAAGTATACTTACCTCGGGGGGCTAATCAATCATTTTCGATCTTTACACGCACAGTATGACAACCTGGAAACATCGCCACCAGTCTTGGCCTGCAGTGACCAGCTTGTTTCCTGAAAGGCCACGGGACACGAGATTAAACGACAGCGTAAAGACTCCGTCTTCGTGAAAGCTGACTCTGAAGACGAGGTAGGCACCAAGCTACTGACTAATTTATCCAAACCAATTACCCTTAGAGTGTGGCCTAAGTATGAATTAAATGCACCAGTTGAGCCATCAGAGATCTCTACAGCCAACCTGGTAAACTGTAGGGGTGTATTTTCATGAATTTTACGAAACTTGAATGTAGTAGTTTCACTGGGATTCAATTAACAAAGGCATTTGTTTCTCCATTTACTCTACTCTTACGGTGGAAGGATATGAAAGGATTAATCTATCACCTAAATTAAGTATCTGTGTGTTTTCCATAAAGTAACGGTTAATTATGTTTATAATCCTTGTCTTCATATTGACACCTTCTCTGTGTTACTTGTGATTGCTATTGATTCATTGTAATAGTTGTGTGTTTGACATAAATTGATTTTCCCGTTTTTGCAATAGGTCTTGTTAGTGAATGTTATTGCTTTATGAAGTAAGAACTATGAGATTAAGACTTTTATTAGTTTTGCTGTACCACCTTGACTAGAGCATTTCTTTTACATTTTTCAATTAGTAAGGGGCGCGACTTTCGACTAACGAACCTGTCTCTTTGGGGGTTGTAGTCATTAAAAGGCCACGTACACATCAAATGCGCGCAGGCTACACGTGTTTATTTAGAAGCCATCGTCTGCGCAGCCGCGCAGGTATTGAGCTGTGTAGTCGACCGTGCGGAAAGCTTGCCCTTCGGCACCCAAAATCCTAATCTCACAGAATATGTTCTCCGGAGACAACAGAAAAATTAGGGACCTTAATGGGTTTCAGTCAGAATAGCTGATATGCTTTTTTCTTCCCTCCAACCACTCCATATGGCATGCACTCACCTTAGAGATAAAAGGCGCGTCGACGTTCATATATATCTGTGTAGAAATGGCATGTTCTACTCGTTTCCTATAGGCCTACAGTCGGACTTGTTAATTTTGAGGTATAGAAGGAAGAGTCGAAGAAGTGGAAACATTTCACACTCCATTCCTCCTCCTGAAGACGAAAGAAATGAACTGATCTGATTGTACACAAAATACATTTACGATGCTGTCCCAACTGAGGAAAAAAACAGCAGTTGGTCTTGTTAAAAATAGGAAATTCATGAATTGATGGAGTAAAAATTCTGCTTTCACGCTTTTAGCAGTTAAACTTTACTTTAGACCTACGGTGATTCCAGTAGTGTCCATCATTTCGCATGAACACAAAACATTCTAATTGTAAAAGAGTTAAACAGTGTAAAAAGGATGCTTCTAAAGGCCTGGCTTATACCTTTAAATTAGCTTCCTTTTTTATTTTGAATCCTATGCTTTAAGATTATGTTTTTACCTACATTTTTTTCTGCTGAAGTGCACAAGTGTAAATAAACACACGATTTCAGAAGGCGTATCAAGCTGACAAACTGTAAAAAATGCGGGTATGTGTGGTTGTTAATTTCTCATTATATAACTCTTACCGTGAAGATACCACCACCCGTACTTCTCCTAGCTTTTTAGATGTATGTTTAGTTTTATCATTCGAAGTGTCGTGAAATTTCTGCCACTTCAAAGCATAAAATGCCGGCAATTATTCTGAGGAAATGATGCAGCTATTGTGTCCTTGGTCAACTTCAGTTATGATACCCGTACATCTGGACGCCACCAACTTCGAAGGCTTGAGGTTTACTGTGCTAGTCTGGATTAAAGTGCACTGTTTTGATGTTTTCCTTGTTTCATTTACCTGTCAAATAAAACGTTTCCTTTTGTACAGATCAGATAGTATACAGAAGATAGTATCCATTTTGTAAGGTTTGTCGCAGTTTGACTTTAACCAGTGAAGACCATTTTCTGAAACATTTTAAAATTTTCTTAAAATGAAGTCCAGAAGCTGACTTGATTTACTGGTGGCTTAGTGAAAGGGATAATGTCTCATCGGGAATGAAGACTGAAAATCATCAGAAATTCATAAAAACAAACACCTTTGTAAGTTCCAGCAAGAAAAATAAACAACCTTGAAAATTCCAGTTGTTTATCTGTGTCTGCATCTCGTTGGGTGTAGTTATCAACAACCCCCCTAGCTAGGCAGAAACCTACAGTTTTGGCAATTTACATCCAAATCTCATGGAAATTGAATGATATAGACTATACTAAATCCTTCACAGAGAATTGTTCAAATAATTCTTGGTATTAGCATAAAATATACGAAAATCTAGGCTCATATTGACGGTTAATAAATAGCATGAATGCATTATGTTTGGTATGAATTTTTTAAGGATATTTTAGAATATTATGCGGGTTACTTCGACAGGTCACATAATAAGTATTAACCACGCCATCACACACCAGATTGAAAACATTCTGATAAGTATAATTGCTCTACTCTGAGAAAGGTTGGTGAGAGACTTAGTAACCGATCGAATGCAATGTTAATTCCTGATTCGCTAATGTGCATCGCTGTCGAGGTAGGTGACTGAACGTCGATTTTTGTGTCTGTGTATAGCTGCATGCATGTTGAGCTCGGCATATGTTGTTTGCCGCTTTCATGTTGCGAGCAGAACACTTTCTTCACTTACGGTGAAATTTAGTAATGGCAAACATTGTCTGGAATCGGTCAACGATAAACGACAAATTAGTCACGTTACAGTTTGGGGCATTCTCAGTTCAAAAGTGCAAGGTGCAGATTTTTTGGACGTGTACGCTTAAAAAAAATCACCATTCTGGAGTGTCAGTGAGTCGTTACATCTCAGTCGTTTGAACACGTGAGAAAGGTTCACAAGCAGGTGAGTTGAGACATATTCTCGTTTAGTATTTAAGCAGTTAATCCGTATAGATCGTCTGTTTCCTGAGTAGCATGCTTTTCCTGGATTCTTATCCCTGGAAATTACTTTGAAGTAGAGAAGTCTGTCTCGTGGTTAGGGCTGGAAGGGATATTTTCATAGGTACATGAGAGCGAAACAACAAAAGCAAATGGTGCTATTTGCCCGGTCTGCATGAAAATTGGCTGGAGTATGAGTCGTCTCTTGCAACTTTTTACGTTCGAAAAGCAAATGAAATGTGATTTTGCTTGTAGTTATTCCTTGTATGGTTTGCCATATTGTGTAAAATTATGTTATCCCTTCGGTACTTCCAACACTAAATAACCATTTCCTTTGATTGAGGTTTGAAAAGAAGAACAACCTACGGCTATGAAATTTTCTACATTGACAGAACTTCATTCAGGGTAAGATATCATCAAGACCAGGCAGATCCCGGTACAGGTAGAAGAGAATATATTTCCGCGAAAACATGATGATGTGATGTCCGTGTAATTTGCAACTTATAAGCTCAATATGCTCTGGAAGCTACTTTCCCTTGAGACATTCAAAGTGCGGCTGAGTCTGGACCCTTTTGACTACAATTCCCTCATTAGCTAAAGTCCTATAGGCGAGAATGTCTCGTCTGAATTATCCATGTGTTTTTACCTCGTTTTGTCACCCATGCAAAGGTGTAAGCAGAATGAGAACGTCTTGGAGAGTAAAGTATGTGTGGAGCTTCCTATGAGCACCTAGGAGGGATACTGTGTCGAACTCTTAACGCATTTGCATTGCCTCCGAGGCTAAGCATACATGAATGTGTAGCCGGGGTCGAGTGTTCGTTAAATTAAATTTAACCGGGGTAGTTGATGAGTTGCGTCGACTTTTTAGCTTGCAAACCTGCTCATTCTGAAATACACTAGTTTTGTCTTTGAAAAGAATTTTGCCGTTTGCATTTTGTCTTTGAGAAAGATTCTGCTGGGATCAAAACGTCAGGCCTTCCATATTTTGTGAAAAGAGTTTAAAACACTACTATCCGTTCAGTGAACGATTTGCGAAATAAATAACCTGCTATTTATTTTCCCTCCATGATATAAAACAATGTTTGTTTCAATACCGATTAGGCTTGTTATTCAACCGGAAATCGTGCTACAACAAATCATTTTAACAAAAATGTGAAGGCTACCTCTGGCTTAAGTATTGGATTTAAATGGCTCAGTTTCGCGTGATGCTTGTGGGGAAACCGTTAGGCAGGCGCCAGACGAGGCAAAAGACCCATCAAGCTTGATGTTGTTCAATTGGTCGTAGCTGTTTATATGGCTATATCGCTAGTCACCATGGTAAGCAAAGACATGTTAAAAATTGAAGCCATTGTCACAAAATGCCCTATTCTTCTTCTTCTTGTTTTGTTTAATGGCGCTTTCAGCAACTCGGGCTATTTGCGCCAATAACTGTACGTTTATTCATACACTTTATTAATCAGCATCACATTACGGAGTTAGGAAGAAGGTCCAGTTTTAGAGGCAGGAGGAAACTGGAGTACCATATTCTTACACAGTCTAAGTCCCTCCGCGCGCGTGAGCAACCAAGAACACTTGTACTGGGACGGATTATACCTGAATTTGTTTTTATACCCACGTCTTTGTTTTTACCGCCTTATTTGCTTTCATGACATGCGGATTGCGATGTTGTTCTGTCCAATAACGTAATGCTTTAATACTCTTAACCCAAGAGCAATTACTTGATATGTAGAGAATGTCATTCCAGAATGCATCGAGAGACTACATAATGCGATTCTGCTATATAATGCCGAAAAGTGATATCCCACCTTCTCCAGTGAATACATTTTATTCAGGGTACTTGTCCCTGGTGATTTTAATAAATGTGAAGTTTTCATTGTGGTTGTATTTTTCCCTGGTTTTGTACAGTTCATATTTCAATATCATTCATTTACTTGTTTTGTATTGCGTCCTTGTCATTTATACCGAGTGAAAAAAAATATTTGTCTTATTATTAAAAGGAAAACCAAATGTAACCGACAGTTTTTTGTATTTGCCTTTTTTTGGATAGGCCTATATTGTCAGTGGTGTTCGTCGACCCATTGTGCTTAGGTTTATTTAGCACAAATTATGGATATGAATGTTTTAACTGATTTCCTTCTAAATTCATGTAAGGTGTTGGCAACAAAAGCGCCCTCTGTTGACGCCATGAATTACCTGCATTCTAATTGTGCGAGTCTATG